ATGCAGCCGCCGCAAGATCTACAAAGCTTGTTATGTCATCGCGTCACTATGATATCATCAAACGTCACGTGCCGTTACGCCAAAATGATGATGCCATCGCTTGACAGCGTCTCTTGTTCAAAGTTGGGCCTATCGCGGAGGCAGTGACAAACCAGATGCGGTGCAGAAAGTTTGCAATGCCTCCAATCTTGGAAGCAATAAATTCCTCGAAGAAGCCCCCTCCATAGGCCAACCGCAAATCGCCGACGCCCAGTCTTTTCTGGTTATGGTTGAAATAAGTGTGACTGCAATACGTCGCAGTGTCTAACGCACTTGCAGTCACGTGTGTAACACATTGGTTAAGAAATGGACAATTCTGGACAATTAGGGATCTTAGCACTGTTTTCATAAACTTTTTGTATTACTTTTTTGTGATGTTATACCTATATGTTTATTTCATATTTGTTGTGCATGATTGACTGCCATTCCTGCTGCTTTGTCAACTTGTGAACGGGGTCAGTACCTCGTCATGCTCTTGAGCTTTTAGTCCTGTACTCCACCTTATCTAAAGGAAATAAAATTATTGATTGATTGGTTTATTGATTGATTGATTGATTTACAGAGGCTCTTCCAGTTGACGTGTCAATCAAGCTTCTGCGAATATCAGAAAATTCGCTCCGCCATAGCAACACGATACAGTAGAATGCAGCAAGCATGAAGCCAGGTGATTGGCCCGAATGACACATTTCTGCGGTCGCGCTCTTTCCGGCGACAAAGCTGGTTTTGATTGCCCCAAGGCGTAACGCCTTCACACGCTCACACACAACCACACACACAGATTCGGCGCGGGTGTCCTGTCGGGGCCCTGTTCGCCGCGAATGCAGCCTCGATATAAAACAAGCAGTAGTTGCAACCTTATCAAAGCTGGGCAGCTCAATCGTAGCACAATCAGATAGCGCTGGCCAGGGTTTACGGGCGAGGAGACACACCGCCGACGAAACGTGTCAAAGCGATGTATCGCTACGCCGTTCCAACACGGCGCTCTGCGTTTCGCACTCGGCATCGCGTCGGGCTTGCTGACAGACTGACTCGAATTTCAAGCGTGCATGGCTGCTCGAGTTGTCTGCTTGTTTGAAGACGACGAGAACGAATATTGGCGCCTCAGAACGTGCTCCACGTGCTGTTACTTGCAAGCTTCGCTGTTGTTTATTTCGCCTGCGCGTCGGTAGAAGAAGAGGAGCCACACTGCGTGTCCCTTCGAGGTGCTCTGAAAGAAGCTGACGTTGAGCCATAGTCTCGCGTTTTCACCGAGCCGGGCACGCGTTCTGTGGTGTCTCCCTCTTCTTTATCGGTGGACGCAGTCTGTGCCGCGCTTGTGAACCAGGAGGACGCATCTCTCGTCGCACTCTGCCTCCGATGCCCGCGTCTTTCGGCCGATGACACCAACGGCCAGCGGCGGCGTTGCCATGTCAGTCACCTTGAAGCGGAAGCGGCCACAGAAGCAGCCGCAGGAAATGAAAAAGCCGACTTACAGCCGTGGCCTGAAGGCCTACTTTAGGCGACACTCCCTGGACATGCGAGCCCCTTGCACCGATGCCGACTCGCCCACTTCCATGCGACAGCTTTGCTGGCTGGTTCGCGAAATCGGCGTGTGGAATAGTTTCCTCGAGAACATCGGTCTGGAGCTGCGCGAGAACCGCCCGGGGCGCCTTTCCCTCTACACGTTCGCGCGTTGCGACCCGAGCATGAACGACTACGGCTCCGTGTGTGTGACGTTGCTTGCCGAGCTTCTCGCAACCCACCGTTGTATCTACTTCGTGCACTTCGGCTACGCGGGCAAGCTATTCAGCATGAAGATGAGCGTGATCCAGCACCTGACGCCCAACTCTTCCATCGAGCAGTTCCACGTTGACGGCCAGGCGATGGACAGTGACGAGATGTATACCTTCATCAGGGCAATGTGGCGGGCCAAGCCGCTCAGCGTGCAAGTGTGCAACATGCCGTTGCGCCGCTGTGACGTGCACTCAATGTCCATCTATGTCGAGGTCACCTCGACTCTCCGCGAGCTGGCCCTAGTCGACACTGGCTTCAAGGTGGCCGACACCATCCTGCTCTTCAAGGCGCTCGAAAAGAGCAAGAGCGTCGAGTACCTACGGCTCGAAGTCAACACCGTTGGCGTACGGGGTGCCAAGCAGTTCGCAGCCCTGCTGCGACGGAACACCACTCTCAGGTTGGTCACCCTACAGCGGGTCAAGCTGCAGGCCAACGGAGCTGTGGCCATAGCGGCCGCGCTAGCTGAGAACACCACGCTAGTTTCCCTTCGTATCGCCAGCAACTCCATCGGGCCCGTGGGCGCCCGGGCTCTCGCCGAAACTCTCAAAACGAACTCGTCACTCTCGGTGCTTGACCTGCGAGACAACGCCATCGGCACCAGTGGCGCTGTGGCCTTCGCGACCACTTTGAAGGTGAACTCGAAACTTGAAGAGCTCCACGTTTGCGGGAATGTGATATCCGAGGAAGGCATCGTTGCCATCGCGGAGGCAGTCATGGATAACAAGTCGCTCAAGGTGCTGTCGCTGTTCGCCAATGGATTCGGCGAGGAAGGTGTGGCCGCGTTGGGCAGGCTAATCGCCTGCAACAGGACTCTGGTGAGGTTGAACGCGACCCTCGAGTCCAGCTACGGCGCTCCGCGGAAGCACCTCGACGCATTCGCCGAAGCCCTCGCGGCCAACACTGCCATCCGCGGTGTTCAGCTGTTCGTGTGGGGCACGCCCGCCATGAAGCAGCTGTCGCACATGCTGCCGCTCACGCAGACTCTGCAGTATCTCTGCGTGTGCACGTGTGGGCCCGAGATCGAGCAGTTGTGTGCCGCCCTAGCTCAGAACAAATCCATCCAGGAGGTCGAGATCAACTGCTACCTCAACCTGGACGACGGCACGGCGCTGGCTCATCTGTTCGAGACTACCACGACGATCCAGGCGGTGACTATCACCAAGAGGGTGAAGAACACCTGTCTCATCCGGCTTTTCAACGGCATCGCCAGGAACAGCAGCATCTGGTGGTTCAGCGTGCAAGGTGGCAGCCTGACGTCGACTGTTTGCACGGCGATCGCTGGCGCCTTGGAGAGTAACAACACGCTTGCATGCATCACGTTGGGACGGGCCACGGCGGAGGATTCGAGTCTGGAGTTAGTCAGTGCTGCCTTGGAGCGGAACTGCACGCTCCAGATGATGTGCATGAACTACTCGGCTACCAGTTTGCCAGCGTTGAAGATCAGGCAGCGACTCCGGCGTAACATGGGCATGATGATGCAGGCCATCGAGTTCGCGCTGACCAGGAATGTCAGTAAGGCCTTGGCGGAGGCCTTCGAGATGTACAAGGACACCCCTTTTTTTCTCCAGGAGCTTGCCAAGTCAAACGGCAACCAGGGTAGGCCTGCTGCCTGGGCGCTAATCAAGGAGGGGGAACGATTTGTCGAAGAAAACTACTTCCAAATAACGGGAGTCGTCAAGAGAGCCATCGTGTGCGTCAGGAGGACGAGGAAGAAAACGAATACCACCATGTTCGACAACCTGAACAACTACTGCTTGCGGGAATTGTTGTCCTACCTTCGGGTTTCCGACGTGCAGCGTTGAGCTGCGGTATAAGTCTTGGTGCTTTTTTTTTTCTTCGGAAGGGAAGGGGTGGGGTGTTGTTAAAGTTAACTTAACCCTTTTTGATTTTGTGTTTTTGCTCTGCAAATGAACGACTGTTTTCCTTTTTTGTGTGTGTGGTGCATTTGTATAAAACATCTTCGAGTATTTACCACTTTATATTACAAGTCTGATCATTACAACTAGGCGTTACATTTACTGAATTTCGCCGTGGTACGAAGCTCTGCATTGTTTGAGTTTGCACGAAAGCTGATAAGCAAAGCTTTGTGCTGACGGTAATATGGTAAAACTTCACGAACGATTATATTATGTTGGTTTCTCATGGTTTACTGTAGATGCTAGCAGTACAACAGTTGTTGTTGCACAGCTATGGCGACTACAAAATAAAACCGCTACTATATCGGAATTATATGGCTCGAATCTAGGAAATATTGGCAGTTCCACCAATGGCTTGTCTGCCGTTTTTTTTTTCTTTCGTGAAATAGTCATATCATCTGGTTTTCATTCAAACCGTAAATGTTTTTCTGGTCTTATGTAAATATACACGGATTAGAAATTAAAGGGTCATCACTACTGCACAGAAGGTTGCACAAGGCAGGGATGGTGAAGTTTTTGACGAAAATTGCCAGAACGTTTCCGACCTAAAAACAGCGTCATGAGGCTGTGTTTGTATGACAAATTTAACGATTTGAAACTTTCGTGTAGTGTATGTTTAGTGTTTTAAAAGTGCGTAAACCCTCTGCGAACGATGTGGGCTGATCTCTTGCTACAATTTAGCCAGGGCCGATTGTTCTTTCGCTCTCCCTCAAGATATATATATATATATATATATATATATATATATATATATATATATATATATATATATATATATATATATATATATATAGAGAGAGAGAGAGAGAGAGAGATGTGGCCCAACGGGAGCGTTGTCAACAAGGATATATACCTCACGAAGGCCCATGAAATTATTACTCCCGCATATATATATAGAGAGAGAGAGGAAGGAGGGAGCGAACCAGTTTCAATGGGTGGTTTACCTGCTTAATCCGCCAGCAGCAGCTTAGGCTCATTTTACGTGAACGATCTGCACTTACACACATTTTCCGACAAAAAATTCATTTTATTTCGCAAAACAGAAAACTTGGAGGAATCTTCAGTTCTTTATTGCGCTTCCTGAAAATATGTCTAGTTTTATGCAAATTATTTCAGTAGAGTATTTACCGATGCTGTAGCCGCTGTACCGATACTTCCTGAAGAGATACAAAATCGAGACTTAAGAATATCGCTGTGAAAGAACAACCGAAACCGAAAGCTCAAAAACGGAGTGCATCATCGGTGTCATCGCCATCAATATGTTCCGGTTCTTCAGCTGTGTCGTATCGCCACAGAACACCGTATCGCTTGCGACTTCGTTACAGCATTTCGTTATGGTTACAGCATGTCATCGGTAACATTTGGCCAAAAGGTGTTCACACCGAAGCCTCCGGACAAGGGCAGCTTCCCATTGGACCACGAAGGTGAGTGGTTTCACTTGAAAACGCTCGCATTTCGCGACTCGGCGTGTTCGTGTTTTGGTAGTTTCTGAACACGTGCATCGCGTCTGGAAGCGACGCTCCAATAACAAGTTCAGAATGTCGTTCTAGTAGTCACTACTGCCTTTCATGTCGTCTCTGTAATAACTTGTCAACGTGACCTTTGGGCTAGTCGGTTATTCGGTTCGAAAAGTGGCCTAGCGCGAACACACATGCCAGGACGAGCGCTAACGTAAATTTGATTTCGACTTGACGCGGTAGGTTTTCGTGTGCGATGACTGGACCTTTGTGTACGTATCTATTTACACCGTTACTATTGCAAATAAACAATCAGTTGGAAGGTAGCGGTCGTACTGTTGTCTCTTTCTCGTCGGTTGGTGCGAGCACTTTTCGAAGTATCTGTATTAGTTAATTTTGCATGCGTATTCGAAGTCTATTTTTGTTCATGTTGCTCTCCTGGTGTTTTACTTCGAGGTGAGTGTAAGCAAGGCGTCTTGAAGTACCTGCTGTGCCTCAAGGACCACGACGGCAGTGCGGAACCCTGCAGACACCTCGCCAAGGATTACCTGGAATGTCGAATGAACAGGTGAGAGTCTTGCGAGTCGGCGGACGAAACAGCAGTTGCGGCAGCTGTGTATAATGGAGCACACATTTGTCAGCGCTCTCTCCCGCGGTGCTCTTGTGGTTGTGGGGCTAGACCGCTCACCCTCAGGTGAAGATATACTCCCGGCTGTGGTGGCCGCATGCTCGATGGCGGCGAAATTCCTAAGGCGCGCGTGCTTAAATTTAGGTGCACCTTAATGTGTCCTAGGAGGTCGACATTTCCGAAGCGCCCCCCCCCCCCTCTTTCCCCTCTCATGCCATCTTACGGCGTCTGACGTCACAGTGTCCGCCATGCTTGGGTACCAGCTGGTTGAGGCGCCGCGTGAAACGATCTCTCGAGCGCGCAGAGCAAGGAACTGTGCCATGAGACTTGTGCCGGTGCCCCCTCACGTTCCTTTGTGTTCGCCGCTGGGGAACAGGAGAAAGCAGGACATGGCACAAAAGAATGTGGACATGGAAGGACTGTGTGCTGCACTGACAATAATGATAAGTCGTGGTGGCCGCCATGTTTGTGTACCCAGTGCCGAGAACTTGTCTGTGACATCAAGCGAACACTATCTACTAGGGATTCTGGACCGTTTAACTTCAACAATTATGATTTATTGTGTTGTGTCGACTCCAATAAGTCTGCGCTTTCGTTGTTGTTATACCGGGTTATTGCTGCAAGTGTAGTTAGAACACTCATTGAAGTCTATTTGCATTGAACTTTTTAGGCTTCAATGCAAGCAAGATCCACAGTGGCGCTAAATCCACAGTGGTTCAAGCATGCTCGAAGGCTGTCATAGGAAACGACTCTGTGGTCAAATCAGTTTTGACAGTACACTTTCCTAATTTTCAGGTTCACAGTTGCGAGATGACATCTTTGTTGAAGTTATTTTGCTTTGGGAAATGCACCATCACGTGCATTTCGCAAAGCTAGTCACTTATTTAAGCGAAAAATGTGCGTGCTTAGGCAACGTGCACAACAGTGAAACTGAGCTTCTGGATTTAGAAATAGCGCATAATCAAAGGTGGCATATCAAGAGCAGCTTGTTTTTTGTTGAACAATAATAAACGGTTTTTAATTGCTGTCGCCTCGTTCTTCCGGAAGTTTGCTTCAGCCTCTAATCGGCACTACAAGTAATGACTTTGAGAAGTGCAATGTTTTGACATTGCTTTGACGAACTGGCTCTAGGAATGCATTTTAAAGGCTAATAACTGTGCTAATGAACAATGACAAATACGTGTAAAAGACAGGACGCACGTCTTGTCTTTCATTCGTCTTCGTCCGTGTTCATTAGCATAAGCCTTTAAAATGAATGTGAGCCAACTAACCTGACTTAGTGCCTTACTCTAGGAGAAGCACAGTTCTGAATTCTCGTCTTATCGTCAATGTCATGACTGTTGAATGGGAATGCATGTAAGACAGCTGATTATTTTTCTTGGCCAAGCTATGATGAAAGAATGCAAATCTTTTTCAGAATGGGAACAAATGTTGAAAGGTGGACGAGTTGGCATATGTCTCAAACAGCAAACTAACACCGCGAACGTGACAAAGAAAAGAAAACAGTGCCCATCCTCGTGATTTCAATGCTTTGTCTCTCATTTACGCTGTTAATTTCATTTTTAAAAGTTTGTCGTGCATCACAAATATATTGCCGCATGCCTTCAACAAATTTGCATTTGTCTGTTAAACTGTTGCGTTACGTTTTTTTGCCAACAGAAACTTGATGGCCAAAGAAGAGTGGTCTAAACTGGGCTTTGAAGACAAGCAAGACGCCAAGTAGGAGCCATGTCCGACACAGAGGCCTCGGCAGAAGCCGTCAACACGGAGGCTGTCAAGGACTCGCTTCCCAATGATGAGGAAGCGGACAAAGTGTTGTCCTTCCAAGAAGCCATGGCCATTGCTGACAAGGAGATTCATGCCTTGATCAGGTAGGCAGGAGCATGAAGTTTCCTAAAATTAACTAGAGGGCACTCTGGTGCTGCGATCGTTTAGCGACCATGGGAATGATGGGTAGTACACGGATTTGCCTAGTCATCATACTTCCGAGCGGTGAAGTGTACTTGTGGCTTTGTTTATTGGTGTGTTTTGGTTTTGTTTCAAAACAAAGAAACCCTTTTGAACTTCATGAGCCGATTTGATAAAAAGGTAAACCTAGAAAAATAAGGTGATGAAACGCAAACGCTGAAAATTTGCCCATTTTTGTTTCGCGAGAAAACAGCTCCAAGCCACACGAACACACATGGAGCCAGAAATACACAGATTAGACAAATCAGTATACTACCCATCATTTTCATGCTCACTGAAGTGCCGTGCCTTGCAGCTCCCATAGACACTAGTGCCGGAGTTTTGTCTAATGTATATTTAGGAAACTCTATGGGCAGGAGGAAAAGAATGAGGAGGCTTTTTTTTTTTCTTTTGTTAAAGTAGCGGCTTCCTTGGTGCCTTCTGCCTGCATTTTGTGATGCAGTATGGTTTCAGAGCAAAATTATGTCCTAATCCTGAAGCTGGTACTGTCTAATGGCTATCTCAACAAATCATGTGGCCTCAGAATGCCTGCTACTTTCACTCATTAAAACTTACATTACAGGTAATTGACTAAACTATACACCTTCGTTGCACAGCCACTTTACAAACCACTTTACGCTGCCCAGTTCGAAAAGCTGTGTGCACTGGTATATTATGCACAAATAAATGAAACTGCTGCTCAGTATTGCTTTGAACATTTTTATTGTATACCGTAATTACTCGAATCTAACGCGCACCTTTTTTCCGGTTAAGCGAGTTCATAAATCGCATGCGCGTTAGAATCGAGTACGAACAAAAAAATTGCGGTCAATCTATTGCCATCGGCAAATCCAAAATGGCCGCCCCCTACGTGCATCGGCATGGCGCGTCGGCCATTTCTGCCTATGTGTTTCCCATGTGCGGCACTTCGTACGTGTGCTGAGGAGTCCGTCATCTAGTAGTGCATTAGCATCGACGGCGTGGAAGGGCCGACTCCAAAAACTCGAGTGCACCACGATGCCGCTTTTAAAAGAAAAGTCATGGCGTGTGCAGAAACAGACGGAAATCGGGCCGCATCGCGGTCATTCGGAGTTCCCGAAACGTGCGTGCGGGACTGGAGGAAACAAAAGCAGAAGATTGTCGACAGCAAAGCTTCACGCAAAGGCTTCAGTGGACCACAGCAGGGTCGGTTTCTGCAAATTATAGAGCTGCTCGGCGAGTATGTCTTTAGCAGCGAGCGGCACAGCCCATGACGACAGAACTGCTCCAAGTGTGGGCTATGCAATTAGTCTTAGAAAAAGGTCTAATGCGGAGCCAGTTTAAAGCGAGCAGGTGCTGCCTAACTAACTTTATGAAGAGGAAAGGCTTTTCCCTCCGAAGGGGAACATGCATATGCGAAAAGTTTTGCGGAGGAGTACGATAAAAAGCTTCACAGTTTTCAGAGGTTCGTCCTAAACTTGCGGCGCAACAACAGCTACATGCTTGGGCAAATCGGGAACGCCGATCAGACGCCTCTTTACTTCGACATGCCTGGCACCACAACCGTCGAGAAGAAGGAGGCAAAGCAAGTTCGCGTGCTGACATCGGTCCACGGTAAAACTACAGTGACAGCAATACTCTGTTACACGTCAGATGGGCACAAGCTTCGCCTGTACCTCATATTTAAATGGAAGACGCTCCCGAAAGGAGTTGTTTTTTCGAGTGGTGTGATCATGCGGGCCAGCGAGAAAAATGGGTGCGCGTTGCAATTGATGTCTTACGGGTTTTTTTTTTTTCGCGGTGGAAATCGGGTGCACGTTACAATCGTAGGCGCGGTAGAATCGAGTAAATATGGTACACTTTTATACTTTTGGAACATTAAGCTTCACAACTGATTTTTCTGAAGCGACAGTATTTAAAGCCTCGCGTTGACATGACTGCAACTGTGATGTCACACTTATCATCCTGTGTATGAGTGACACCGGCTAGCCTTCCAAGAATTACGAAGAAATACCCTCCTCCCCCCCAAAAAATTGGATAGAGAATCTACCACTGCTGTTGCTCAATTTATAGAGCATTGCATGTGTTATATGAAGATTCTGCATTCGCTTCTGACCTACAGCAAGTTGATTTTTATTCAATTCAATTCCTTTCCATTAGCGAACAGAAAATCTGAGGTTCGAAACGAATGTTGATTGAGTCGAATAATTGTGAATCGAATAGTATATATATATAGCTAAAGCATGTCAATTTGAACTCGAAAGGTACTAATAAAACTGTTCGAATAAAGCACAGTTGGAATTTGCGGGCAGGTGCTAGAAGCAATTCACATCGTGCCACACTGTACGAGCAGAAGCCAACTCTGGACTAATTATCGTGCCCTACTACACGCTTTTGGCAGGTTTCCTTGTAAGTTAATTTCATTAAGCTCTAACTGCAAACAATGTCAGTGATACGCCAAAAACAAGCAGCGACATGCATTTTTGTGAGCAGTAAGCCTTAATGTCAAAATATATGATCTATATTTCTGCTCCAAAGCACTTTTTTTTATGTAGATAATGCAATCCGAAATGACAAAGTAATCTGTAATTTGCGTTTGTTTACTTTTATTCTGTCCCAACTCAATGAGCATTGCCTGCAGCTCACCAAGAGTTCCTGTACAGCATTAGAATTGTCAATTTAGAAATGCTGCTGTTTCGTTGGTTTGAACCTCATTGTTTTGGATCTCTGTTTGATTTTGCTACACATTTTGACCAGCGGGGGTCGATTTCTGCAAGGAGTGATAGGAAACCAGGGGCTCCCAGTTCAAAGTAACTGTTGTGGTTACCAAAGTGTTCGAATTATCTGTAGCTCTCCCCATATAAATTCACAGAGTGGATGCCGGTACCGGGGTTTCAGTTTCAATTAAGTGCAAATTCGAATTAACCAAACTCAAGTTAAGGAGCTTTCACTGTATTAAGTTATATTAAGAAAAATTGATGATTTCTGTTGTGACCCAACCAATTTGTGCAATATGTATTTTTTTTATATTTGGGAGCAAGCATGTGTGAATGTAGCCTTTTTGGTTCGAAGTGAAGTTGAAGCAACTTTGAATAGCAAGTAGATGTGTATAGCAATAGGGTGCAAGTTATAACTAGCACAATACGTCACGTTTTTAAAATTTACTGCACTTAGCACATAAACACGCTCTTAAACGTAAAAGTAAGTCATTCAGGTGAAGGCAGTATGTTCAGATGGGTCCACTGTTAAAGGGAATGCTAGACTGGATCCTGGTTTTTGACAGAGCTGACTGTTTTTGACATACTATTGCCCTGCATGAGCAATGTTCTCAGACACAGTTGTTCTTAGGAGGCCAGAAATATGAAAGGTGTTCATTCGAGTAGTTCCTTTTAACAGAGGACGGTACTGTACATTGAGCCTTGACATGTGGCTTTGACGCAGCGCAAACTTTTTTGGATGGGTGGTTTTATGGCATAGCACGTGCACAATGCAGTGAAACCACCTTTGCAGGTGGTTAAATATCGTCAAATATACCTATACTTGTTTATTTCGAATACTGTAGTACTCGTTCGTAAATTTGGAACGTTCAAATATTCACCAATTCATACATTTATGTTAATTATGACTATGGCACAGCTCAGAACTAGAAATAATCTCCCTTAGCTTCATTGCGTGTTGCTTTAACGAGGTTGTGTCGTAGTCAAAGCGTGGTTTCAGTTCATAAAACGCCTACAATTATTGTTGTTGTATTACACTGTGACTGTCTTGCTCGTAGCAACGACCCACTGCTCAACAACCTGCACCCAGAGGTGACCACGGACGAGCTCAAGTCATACCTGGCTCTCGAGCACGGTCAGGCCATGTCCCTGGTGGTGCACAAGGCTGACGGCGACTATTACACTGTCGTGGTCGAGCAGAAGGCCACAGTGTTGGACCTTAAGAAGGCCATACGACGTCACGTCACCTTGCGCATGGTAACGTCCTAAATATAAATGCGTTGCTGGACGAGCCGGTGCATTGTCTGAAAAAAAAAAAAGTTAGGGACAGCAGCGCGAAGCGCGGCCCACAGCGATGGATGGCACGCAGTAAAGTTTTCGAAAGGAGGCCCAGTTGCTGGTGTGAAGAGACAGTTTTACCAAAATAGCGAAGCAATCAATGCGATAGCGACATATTCGAATGTTTTATGAAGCAAGGCTAGCATTTTTAGGAGCAAAATTAATTGTAGTAAACATGCGGTTGCTAAGTAACCAAGCTTTCTGCCGTGCTGCCGTAGTAGTAACTCTACAAAACGCTGGTGTAAGAAAACACGGCCGCTCCAGGTACACTTTTGGGACCGTTTTTTTTTTTCTTGTGTGTGTGTGTGTGTGTGTGTGTGTGTGTTGAGAGTGCAGCTCTTTGAAGCTTCCGCCTTCTTGCTCACGAGACAAGTGCGCGCGTAGACGACCCCGGCCAGAAAGGCAATGTTCGCTCCACAAAAAAAAAGGAGGCTAGTGCATCTTTCCTATATATATATATATATACACATACATACATACATACATACATACATACATACATACATACATACATACATACATACATACATACATACATACATACATACATACATATTATGAGGACGAGCTTTATTCCAGACGAGCTCAAGCTGGCACACACTGATGATGGTATTAACAGATGGGGAAATTATACAAATGATGATGACACGTCCAAAAAGAGAAAGTTACCCATGATATCACCCTAAAATGTGCACCAAACCATCGAAATCTCTCTCCTATTTACATTTTTGTGCATATTTTTTTTTAACGCGTTAACGATACCAAGATCAGCTGCAAGCTGCCTTGTTATTTGCGGAGCAACACGAATGTGTGGAGGCCCTTCCTCCATTACCTTTGCTAAAATGTCGATATAAGTTAGTTGTAGCCATACATACATACATGTATGTGTGTGTATATATATATATATATATATATTGTAATGACGAAAACCGAAACTGGAACTCTCTCTGGCACAGACTCGCATGCTAGGAGGAAGAGGACGAAGACGAAGCAGAATAAGAACAGCCGGCCTGCAGCAAAGGCGTTGTCTCTTATTTCTCGTCGTTACAATGGCGCAGTCGATGAAGAAGACGTCATACGTCCCGGCTTCGTCATCCAGGACGCCCGCCGACGTGCAGATGCGGTAAGCGTCGCTCGGGGACGGCGTCAAGGCCTCCTCAGCAGCTGTTCACCTGCCGCCACTGCCACCACCGTTCGGGGATGGCGCCAAGGCCTCCTCGGCGGCTCTAGTATACCCATCACCGGTATTTCTTCATGAAAAGGGACACCGTCTACGCGTCCTTCGCCACGGATTGTGCCGTGAGCACAGGTCGACAAGTGAACCCTGCGGCACAAGCCACCTGTCCGTACCCTCGTGGATCATCGGCAGCGTGGTTCTCTCATCGTAAAAACGCTGTTCACGCTTCCTCGATCATGGAGCCGACAGCCCTCCTGCAGCCGGGAGCACCTGTGCCGCCATTCGGGGACGGCGTCCAGGCCTTCTCGATGGCTCCTGGGCAGGCTTGCCCCGGCCCCACCACGACAGTACATGGCCTGTCGTTGACCGGGAATGCCGTTCACGCTTCCCACTGCGACAACGTCCTGCTCAGTGCTTCATCGGCACCTCAGCCGCTCAGGGGTGCTGTTCAAGCTCCCTCGGCCGAGGGTACCACAGCAGTGAGTACGCTGATCGGGGAACACGTCCCCACTGGCTCCGCATGTGGGCCGCCCGAGAGTGCCACCGAGCTTTCGCGCACCATTGCGCGACTCCGCCTCGAGGTCGGCGCCCTGACAGCGTCGAGTTCTGCGATATTCCCTGCTGCCTTGCCGGGACTTCACATTATCGATGAGGCGTTGGCCGCGGCCGCCTCGCAAGACCATTCAACAACTTCCCCCGAGAGCCGCAGCAAGCTCCAGTATACTCTCGCGGCTCTTTCACACCAACTTGGCTGTGTGGCGTCGCTATTTTCTGGAGCTTCGCCTGCCGTGACACCACCACCGGCTGCCTCCGAGCTACCCGAGTTTCGCGGCTTCCAGGACGATGCCGTCGATTGGGTGGCTACCATCAATGCTCTCGGAGCTCGCAAGGGATGGAGCGACAATCAGAAGTGGTGCGTGGCCTTAGACCGCCTTCAAAATCCTGCTGCTGCGTGGCACAGGTACGAAGGCGTGCGGCAGCAGTCCTGGGCGGACTGGAGCGCCAAGCTCATTGCTGCGTTTGGAAGAAATGAGTCTGACCTCACTGCTACCTCTCATTCTACCCTCGCCACTACCGAGCAAGGGGCTATTGAGAAGCACAACGACGAGGCAGCTGCACCCTCTGCCAACCTGCCCTACCTCGGAGATCAACCTCACGAGGCGCCGCGCCCCCCTACAGCTGTGCCGCGTGCCCCCTCCCCGGACAGCTTCCCAGAGTACCCTGCGGCAATCATCGAGACAAGCTGGACGGTGTACTCCTCCGGGCAAATCTCTGACTCCGCGTCGACACCTGACACACAATTACCCTTGACCCAACTTAGGACCGCCTATAAAGCACAGAAGCCAGTGAGCCAGCCTCCAAGCTGGTCAGCCCCAAATGGCCTGGATCCATTGACCTGCTGCGTGACGACGGCGGCTCTTTCACAACCAGCCGGAGACCAAGCACACGTCACAACGGCCAGTTTGACCCATAGTAAGGAGCCGCACCATCCCCTGCCACCTTTGCCGTCATTGGCCGAGTGCGTGGACGCTCGTAACTTGCCAAATGCCGTCTCCCCTAACGAGCCACAAGTGCCTACTCCACCTGAGGAGGATGCCATCGAAGTCATTCCGGTGCAGTTCACGGTTGCTCCGGATGGCGAGGCAACTGGCCATGTCGACATGAACGCACGTGACGGATTGGCAAAAACCTCCACTTCGACCAGCAGTGCATCAGCGAAGACGCTAGAGCACGACTTGCGTCGCAAGTCTACGCGCAAAGTCTACACAGCGATGTCGCTGATATCTATCGATATAGCCCATCGTACCTTCCCTCGCTCTGAACAACGCAGGCGTCCCCGCTCAGTGTGGGCCGCAGTACTGCATACTGGTGTCCCTGCAATGTCATCCAAGCAGCGAAGGGGTAGTCATCGCGATGGTCCGCCACCAATGCGATCACTCCGCACCAGCCAGTATCACCTGCTGGGTTTACATTCTCCAGGTGACTACATTAACTTGCCGCGCGGACGCGACCTGCAACGACCACCTCGACACAGCCAGGGTCGTCCACCAGAGTACAGGACAGTTCCACAGGACAGCTCGAGGCGTGCACATGACAGACTACCACGGCACTCCCAGTGCCGCCCTCCAGAGAAAATTGCCCTTTGCGCGCTAGCAGTCATGGCCGAGTGTAATGACGAAAACCGAAACTGGAACTCTCTCTGGCACAGACTCGCATGCTAGGAGGAAGAGGACGAAGACGAAGCAGAATAAGAACAGCCGGCCTGCAGCAAAGGCGTTGTCTCTTATTTCTCGTCGTTACAATATATATATATATATATATATATATATATATATATATATATATATATATATGTGACGCTATGATGCGAGAGACGTGGCCTGGCTCATACGCCATCTTTATTCTACCGTCACTTCTTCCTTCTCGGCTTCTACCAATCATCGCTTCATACGTCACACGATTCCCCCACCTCCCGAAAGAAGGCATGGATTACTAACAAGAAAAAGTAAACAAGGCAAGGTTGAAAAGTCACAAATGTCAAAATGCACAATTGGTTTCATGTCCCAGTGGTGTTCCGTAAACTCGCAAAACTTCAGAAATGAGTGCGGCCGTCCGGTGACTGGCGGAGTTCTGGTGGGCGAGGTTGGCTGTGGCGTTCTGGAGATGGTAACCGTGTCTTGCAAAACTGCACTGACCATGACATGACTTGAGCAGCTGCGAAGAACGAACAAGGTTGGAAGTTCTTGGAGCACTTGAAGGTCGAATGTCGTAGGCGCCGAATCCTCTGTCGTACGCACTGTATTTTGTGTCGCGGCTGAGACAGAATTAGTGCTTGCAGCATGCGTGTACAAGAACTGAAGTTCAAGGAATTATGTCTATGTTCGTGCATTGTACAAATTATAACGTTCAGTCTCTTTCGTAGTTTTCTGTGGCGTTGGCTCCGTTGTCGTAAACAAATGGGATGGTTTCCGAATCTTTGAATGGTAGAACTGGTAACTTCTTGTCTTGTTCGGTGTTTCCTGAGGTTTCGGAGCTGTAATCTTAGGCGCAGTCTTGATATTTTGTTCCAAATGCGTTTCTGGCGCTGATCCTTTATGCGAAGTTGTCTCGCTTCTTGAATTTGTTTTAAGAGGTTTGCTTTGCGTCGTCGTCCTTGTTGGTGTGTCCGTTGGAGTGTCTGCGATTCGCGGACCTGCTTTTGGTGGCGTTGCTGACGTTGCTGTGGACCATATCGTGGTGGAAGCCCTTCTTGAACATCGCGCTGCTTTTCATGACAACCTGATGGGGTCTCCAGTCGGCAGCTGGTAGTCTTTGAGCAGTTGTCATGCAATTCAGGCAATGAAGATGATGCTTCAGAGTTGACAGAAAGTTCTTCAGAAGCTTTTTCTGCACTGTTCACTACGAGAGGCTCTTGCGCATGGCAGCGTCTGACGTTCGATGTGCCTAACCCTTCGGTGTTGCTTCGACTGTCGAGTGTGTATGCACCGGGCAGTGATGCATGAACCCGTGCGGAAGGAGCATGGCTCAAATGTGCATTTTCTCGGTGTGTCAACTCGTCTATCGTGAACATGATGTCCTTATGAGGAAAACGGTGAGCGTCAAGAACGCTTGAAGAGTCGCGTGATGAAAACCCAGGTGGTGGACTACGCATGCGAGACGGACAGTGAAGAACATCAGGTGGTTGAGAAACGTCTCGTGTCAAGTGCTGGAGCGATGACTTCGAAAATGCCGACTTTCGTGCAGAAGGGAGACGCGCTTGACGGTTGGGTTTTTCCCAATGTATGCATGGCCTTCTGTAAGTAAACGCATGTGCCACTTCGTCTTGAGGCACTTGTCGATTCGCGCTGGACTTTCGAATGCTTGAGGACTGCCTGGGAAATTGACGATAGTGTGCAGTAGTCTCTAGATGGTTGGCAATGAGTAAGTCTTGGTCATAGTCATTAAAACGGGTAATCATCTCCTCTTTGATTTTTTGCCATGACTCGTCGTTCTCGAATATGTGAATAAGGTAAAATTTAAATGCCTCACCGGTGACGTAGTCGCTGAAGTTCGTAACCATCTCCCGTTCCGACCAAGATGCAGCGGTAGCGTGGAGTTCAAACAGGTTGAACCAGTCCTGTACGGGTCCGTCGTCCGCTGATCCGGTGTACTTGGGGATGTCGAGGTCAGGCGATGGTTCTGTCATGGTGCCGGTAACTGAATGCGCCTGAGATCACCTCTTCTGTGGTCGATATTCAGTTGAGGCGTACTGCAGGTGGCTTCGTGAATGATGTGAGGTTGATGAGTGGTGGCCAGGTCTTCATCCTGTCGACTTGTGTGACACGAAGCATCAAGGAATTCGGGTGGTTCAGTAAAATGTGAAGTGTTTTGGTGCAGTGAACACGTTGAAAATGCCGATTTCATTGTTCTTGGGAAAGCCGGCTTTAGGTTTAGTCTTTTGCCGAAATGGTCTAAATTCCTTTCGGTATACGGAGGCTTTACCTTGTCTGTTGCGACGTGCAAGTTACCAGTCGGTGTTCGAATGCGTGACGTTTTTTCGGAAGAGGCATATGATGGTACAATGGTGGTATATTTTCTCTGAGGTCTCGTTTGGAAAATAGGCTTACTGCGGGAAGACTTCGCGTAACTCTGGTGGGCGAGTTGAAAAGCTTTCCGCTGATGAAGTATGGACAGGTCTTCATCGTATTCCTTGAAACGACTGATCATTTCTTCTTTGATCTTTTTCCAAGACTCATCGTTCTCGAAGATGTGGGTGAGGTAAAACTTGAATGCCTCACCTGAGATGTAGTCAGTGAAGTTTATGATCATCTCCCGTTCCGACCATGATGCAGCGGTGGCATGGAGCTCGAACAGGTTGAACCAGTCCTGTACGGGTCCGTCGTCCGCTGATCCGGTGTACTCCAATACCCCAATGGACTCGAAATCCATTGGGGTATCCCCGCACAGGTTCGAATCCTGCCGACTCGTGTGACGCTATGATGCGAGAGACGTGGCCTGGCTCATACGCCATCTTTATTCTACCGTCACTTCTTCCTTCTCGGCTTCTACCAATCATCGCTTCATACGTCACATATATATATATATATATATATATATATATAGATATATATATATATATATATATGTTGCTCCGCAAATAACAAGACAGCTTGCAGCTGATCTTGGTATCGTTAATGCGTTAAAAAAAATTATATGCACAAAAATGTAAATAGGAGAGACATTTCGATGGTTCGGTGCACATTTTAGGATGATATCACGAGTATCTTTTTTTGGGGGAACTAAACAGCGCATTTATGGCCATACCCTGCTGCCCACGACATTTTGGATGCCATGTTTACTTTGAAGAATGGTCGTACTGAGTGAAAAGGTAGTGCTAAGAAATGGAAAGAAAAGGAAGTCATTTTCGGAAAGATAACTATCAATACCTGTATTTTACCTTCGACTTTCCCCAAATGTCCGAGTCTCTTAAAGCCACATTTATTTCAGCAGACTAATTCGAAGATTATCAATAAACGTAAGTACTATTTCTTGGTCCAGTAGTACTATTTCCTGCTTCAGTTTTGTAGCTTCGATATTGCTGTCAAGAAAAGTTGTCACCGAGCATTTCCTATAAAAATAAAAAATGGCATATACAAGCGCAGCAACCGCCACTGAAGGAGATTTTTTCTTGCGCAGTACCAGCACCCACAGCAACTGTTGGTCGTTTAGGTAACTTATTTCTTTCACAAATAGCACTGCATTGCCACTGAATTTTTATTAATATGCTTTGAAGATATGTACCCGAGTCACTTGAAGTTGTTTCCTGTAATGGGGCTCAGTGATGATTACATTTCTCTAGCTAATACCGGTGTCACATGGGCATTTTGAATTGCGATCAGTGCCGATCTGGATTGACCACGACCGGGATTTGGTGCTGCTACACGGTCACTTTTAATCATGATCAGGCGCTATCGGGACCAAGACTCTCGCAATGCGTGCGTCGTAATCTGGCTGAGGTATTGTTATCTCGCTTTCGTCTGCTCCCACTGGCCGAGCTTGTTAAAGCACAATAACGAAGAAAATCGAACATAGTTGAATAAAATCACATTAACACAGCCAGATTTTTTATAAAAAGCAAATAGTAAGCTGTTTAAATTGGAAGAACATCTGAAATATCGCATATTTTAAGATTCGTCATATTGACCACATTTAGTTATGGGAGGAGCAGACGACAGTTGATTTCTGCGGTTAGTTCAACTCTCGCTCTGTCGGAGCAGTTGGAGCACCTCGAAGCAAAGTGATTCGAGTTTCGCCTGCTTTTCGTCTACGTCACGGAGTATATGCACACTTTGTGTTCGAATGAAGACACCTTTCAGTAATACCCTTGTCAGGAGCGACTGGGAGACTTGAGGAGACAGAAATGAAACTAGATTGTCACTTCGCTGCGACTCGACAGCTACAAGCGGGTGCCATGAGAAATAAAAGTGAAGATAAATAATCTCACAGTGCAATGCAGGTAAGGCGAAAGAACACTCTATTGAATGATGTATTTGTGAAATGACTTTTGTGGTGGTAAGCAAAGCTTTTAACATTCAAGTGGTTTTTGCATGAATGACATTGCTGATAAAGAGCTCTATAGAAATATTGTATGCTGAGTTTTGTCAGTGACATGTTTTACGGCATGCAAGCGCCACCTGGTGCATTTCATCATACCCAAGCTCGAACCGGATCGCGAATTAAAATCGCCCGTGTGACATTGGTGTGACTGAAATCTCGATATAAAGAATTTGGATATAATTAGTTTTTGCTTATAACAAAATGAACAGTAGCTTTGTTACAGTGTTACAAATAGTCGTTTATAATGAATTTTCAGATATAACTGAAGTATATATTTTCATGGCAGATGTGACTGTTATAATGAGGTATGAGTTGTGGCTGAATTCACCTGCCCTGTTTACTCCTACTGGCATGCTTATCTGCTGCCATGTCAACTGAATTGCAATCACGCGATTCCTTTTTTATGTTTTTTTTTTTTTTCTGATTTGCACAGGCACGGAAGGGAGTGAAACGAGTTCTAAGCTGGAGGTATGTCTGGAGGACGTACTGGCTCTCTTTCGACGGTGAGCTCTTGAAAGAGGACAAGGCGCTCCTTCGAGACTTCGGAATTCGCAACAACTCGCAACTGACATTTGTCAAGAGACTACGCGAGAGATAGCTGCCGAGTAAGCTAACCGCTTTTCGGAGTACTTACTATTGCAAAGTAATAAAAACTTGTTGCTTCTCATTTTAACATTGCCATTTTTAATTCTCAAGCAAGCAGTGAACGTGTCCCGTGAAACATTGCGTAGGCTCATATAAGTGCCACGCATCTCTTTTTCACGATTTCACGACATAGTCCTCGCTCAATAGCCAGACCTTTTAGCCTTTTTTTTTTTTATAGAGTGATAGCTCCCCACGCAGCAAACCCACAAGACGATCTTGCAATGTCCTTTGACCCTGAAGCTCAACAAAGGTAGATTTTCTTCGTTTCCTCCTTGCACATGCATTGTCATAACAGACACACGCAGCATTATTTGTTCCCCTCTCGCTGGTCGGGGAGAACCATGAGCTGGTGTGCGTGTGCTTGCCGCGAACCCGAACTTTTGTCATGCGACCCAAATGCCTGGCGTGCCGCTACTCACTGCAAGAGAATGCCGACGCAAGGGACAGCACAGTGGCATACCTTCAACGATGCTATTACTCGACAAGCTTGGTCTGGCCCCTTTCAGCCACAGAATATTTTATAGACAGTATGAAGCAGTGTTACTACTATGTTATGATCTTTCATATTTGCTTGCTACCGGGAATGTAACTGTTATTGTTTCCATAGTCACTTTATTGAATTTTTTGTCCACATCATGCACTTTGTTGTTCATCTTCACTCTCGCCACAACTGTGGATTACATGCAGCACGTAAATCTAGAAAGATTGCAAGGGGACACACACCTTGCAATGGTGGCCATTTTGTTTTCATAAATGTTGTAGGCTTTGTGTTTACTCTTATGAAAATTAAAATCACCTCTTCAAACGAAACTGAAAAACGATACAACTTGCCAGCTCGCGTAATTGCATTCTTCTGTTCAGCCTTTTCTAAAACCAAGCAGCAGCTCAAATTTCTGTAGACTGACACAGCTGAGGAGTGTTGAACACAGGTACAGGCTACAAAGAAAACGGGCATTAAAAAATTTGAATGCGCGATACATAATTGTCAAGCCATTGCGACACGTGATCTATGAAAGGGAAATCTCGAGGGGGGACACTTGCGAGGGGTGCCCCCCCCCCCTCTAGCCTAGCACATAGGGGACCCCCCCCTTCCTCCATCATTTCGTGCCACTGCTTACAAGTTTACCAAGTAGATTCATGCGAGGACCACATCATCCCTGGCGCCATCTGTTGCGTTCAACATTTCCTATAGACAAATTCCACCGGACTTGCGTCACGAATATGTGGTGGAGCTGTCTTGGTAGGCAAAAGACGCTCTGCCTACCGCAGTTTCTGCTGGGTTTTCAAAGGTACATGTGGTGTTCAGTCAAGCAATGAGAAAAAAAAAAGGTATTTCGGACGAACTGTGTCGCGTTGGATGCGAGTCGCGTCTCAGAACTTAGTTTTGTTTGTTGGCGCACATCGCAGCCCTCAGCGCTTATGCCTTTCACAGCGCTTATAGCGTCTCACAATGTCGTTTTGTTGGCGTACATCGCAACCCTCGGCGCTTATGGCGGAAGTTACGTGCCGACGTCGTTATAATTTTACCCATAATATCGACATCGGCCTATCTGTGTTTACAAACATGGAATAGGTCTATACTCTTAATCCTCACTTGCAGCAACTCTGCACACTGCAGACACACACAAACAAAACAGTGGCACCTTGCTGTGTCAGGTGTCCAGAGTGTGTCAGTTTACTAAAATGTTCTTTCCGTATATTCTTTTTAGCTGCCAAGTAATGGGTGCAACCCGTGCAAAGCTACAACTGTTGCATATGGTTAACTGATTTTTGCCTGTGTTGCCACGGCTACAAGTGACAGATTCTGTGTCGCAATTTTGTGTGTCAGGCACGACTTCGCCACATTCGTTTACGAGCCACCTTAATTACGCATAGGCCATTTTTCTCATTTGTCGCCACACTTTCTGCAGAAAGCACACTTGTGTGCTTTTCACTCTTCTTGTGCTACTGTTATGCACAAAAGCAAGCTCTCAAAATTAGAAAAAAACAAAAACAAATTGCGCAAAGAATCTTGTATTTGGAGTTCTCTGTAGTTGTGCATATTTGTTTATTACTTACGTACTACACACTAATGAAATACTACTTAACCCTTACTATATGCATAAAAATTGGGTGGCACACTTAAGAGCAGTAGCATATGTAAGCGAATCGGTTAACTGGTCATATGCAATAGTCATGATGCACTATTATGACTTCACCACTTCAAAACTAGAATCAACGCTGGTTCTCAGCATACAAGCCTAGGTTTATACGATTCAAACTTTTCTACAGCTAAACAGGTATTTCAGGTCATAAACTTCACACCAATACTATTCGATTAAACACCATTTTATTGTAACAATATGTTTTTGCATGTGCTAACAGAGCACTATGACCGCTGTATTTGTATAGCTCCTAGAGTTGTGTACAAGTTCGACTATTTTCAGGGGAGACCTCTCAGTATTCAAAATCTCACAGCGATTGATGTTTAATATAAAACTAAAAAACAGATTTATAGTCACCATTATTAGACATTGTACTATTAACACATTTTTTTCTATGATGTAAAAGAAATTATCTACGTAAACTGGCTTAAATACAATAGAATTTCATTTATTTGCTTTCATTTTGTAGGATTTCCTAGTGCCATTGTTTAGCTGAATTTAGATTGTACGTTTTTTCTTGATACACTCAAACCTCGTTATAACAAAGTTTCAATACGGGGAAATGGTATATTCGAATTCGTTATAGAGGTATACTCCTAACACTATCTATAGCAAGACTGTTCTTCATTTACTTCCTTATAACTGATACTTCGTTATATCAAGGTTTGAGTGTAGTATGCTATCCCTGCACTTTTTTTTTCTAAACGTGAACGAGGTTCTACAGTAGCAAGCAGTGAAGCGTTTTCCATGGACATGGTCAACCTTGCACACACGTATATATTATTGACACTCCCCGTCGATATCCTTTCACGTCATGGCGAGCACGTAGAATGCCCTGGCCAATAGTAGAACCCCGCAATAGTGCTCTTTGTTGACGGGCGTCTCCTTCAAATAGACACCCTTCAGGTTTCCCTGGAAGCTGATGGTGCCGTCATCCACCAGTTTCTTGAGGGTGCCCTGTCCAGACACCCTCTCGCTGCCAACGTTGAGGTTGAAGAGGTTCGCGATGGCAGACGACTTGACTGAAACCACCTGCGATGAAATGCAACTTGTAAATGGCATAATGAAATGCCACATTTTCTCGCATATAACCCTTACCAAAAAAAAATTTAAAAGTGGGGTGCAGGGTATTTTTTTTTTTGGTGGGGGGTATTATGGGCATGTTTTTTTTTTTTTTTAGAGCTAAAGTTAGGGGTGCAAGTGATGAATGATATGCAAGGGTGGGTTATATGCGAAAAAATATGGCACATTCACTTTGCAATGTGACTTGTGCCACTGCCATCTTTATCAGAGGGAACGAGTGAGCACATTGAAAGTAAGTTTGTTTTGGCCAAACAGGGGACCTATTTTCGATGCATTTATCAAATGGACTGTTATTTTCAGCTGCCACTAATTGGCTGGAGCTTAGAGAGCAATGCATCCTGTTCTAATTTTCCTTCCCTGCCTACGTGTCTCGTAAAAGGACAGTTTGAGAGTGTGTCTCTCCTAACGAATTTTCACGCCTTCAGTGTCCGTATCGTTCAAACTGACCTGTGGCTGTAGCTTCTTGCCGTGGCTCAGCAGCGCCACCATCATGGCCTGCACGGTGAGCTGGCTCTGGCTTTGTGCGACTTCGACCTTGTGCCGCTGCGACTTCTGCTCGACTACGTAGAGACTGGCCTTTGGCAGCTGCTTCAGCACTTGTTGCACCTGAAAGTGAAGCGACGGCTTTGAAATGCGGGGCATAAGGTCACGGGGCTTCAATTCTTAGCCACTACGGCTGCACTTTGGTGAAGAGTGATGTGCAAGAACAACCGTGTGCTTATATTTAAGTGCACATTAATAAATATCACATAGTTCTATATGTATTTGCCTAAGATGAACTGAACATGAAAGCCTTTTTTTTTCCTTCCTAGTCCATTGCATTTAACTTAAGTGCGATTGGTTTTAACAGCGAATCTGTTCCTATTAAAAGCTTTGATGTCCGGAGGCTGTTGTAGATAAGAAACGGGTATGCGCCACCACAGTTCCCTGTAAGTGCACTAGAGGGAACTCTGGCACTAGCGTCTGTGAGAGCTGCAATGCACGGTGCTTCAGCGAGCATGGGAATGATGCATACTGCACAAATTTATCCAATCTTCCTACTTTTGGCTCCGTTTGGCTTCACTTGGCTGGGAGCTGCTTTATCACGAAACAACAATCTGCAAATGTTCAGCAGTTCTGCCCCACCACCTTAAACCTTTTAGGCTCATCAATTCAAATAAAGTCGCGATGCTCGCAATGGTTCATTTTTTATTTGAAACAAAGCCACAAGCACGTTTAAAGCCTGCAAGCACGAAGACTAGGTAAATTTGTGTACTGCCCGTCATTTCTGTGGTGGCTAACGATTGCAGCGCCAGTCTCTCCTCCAGTTAATTTTAGGAAACTCTATGGGTGCCACTACTTGCTACTCCTGCCACTCCTCCTACTTCATTTAACCACTTCATTCGAACCAGCTCAAATAACTGGCAAGGCAAAGGCCTCTTTGTAAGCCAACAGCTTCCCTGCTTTGTTGGTATCTGCTACGGAAAGCTGCTTGAATATTTTATAAACTATTTCACAAAGTATGGTTATACTTTGGGTTTTGGTTCAATCGATTGACAAGTTAGGACATGCCGCTCCTACGAAGGAACGCAGGTATTGAAACAGGCTTCTGTAAATTTCTGTTCACCTTACGATATCGTCCAAGTACTAGTAGCCATCCAGCTGGCATGAACTGTGCTAATAACGCAATAGGAACTGTTTAATGGGTCGATTTCAATTTTTCGTTCAATCACACAGCACTACATGACTCGAGACAATACCCACTGCTTCGTAGTGGTTGTACAGGTGCGGCTTTGCCTTGTCGTCGAGGAACTGCACTCGGTCGAGGGCAAGTACGAAGTTGTCCCGGGTCACGTGGGCCCACGTCATAAAGGGCGGACTCACGTCTATGGCCAATATGTCGGTGATGCTCTGAAAAAGCCACAGTGATGTAACAGTCAAATACAGGCCCAGAGCTAAACAAAAAACAAAAAACAAAACTCCAGGCTTGCACAGAATACACAACACAGAGCATAAAAGTAGAGGACTCATCATTGTCAGTAAAGTGACATCACCAAAAAAAGCCTATGGTCATCAGATCAAGCACTGATGCCATTATGTGGAGGGCAACGAGGGTGGTGTTTTCGGAATGCCACTACCTTAAGGTAGATGCTACGTTGGCCATAGTGGTTGATGCCTGAATAATCACTTACGCAAACACGATAACATATCAGAGCGGCACATGAGAGGCATCTTGCAGTTCACTGTTAACTAGTGCAGATGCGTACCACGCTACACAGAAACCATCAAAGCTGAAAAGGCTGTGCGATCTCGCGATGCTTGTGTCAGTGTAGCATACGTCTCGCTCGCCAAACAAGACTGTCTCCAAAACAAGACTGTCCTCAAACAGGACTGTAATATTAGGAAACTCTATGCTCCTACCTCTATCCTCTCCGGCGGTATGACCGGGATAATGCTGTTTCCCCGGTCGGGCGGCCGCCTCTCCTGTGGCTTCTTTCCGTACAGGATGGCCTCGCAGATGCGAGCCAAGCTGCGCGTCTGCAGGCCGTCGATGGCACCCACGTGGTCCATGCTGGTGAAGCCGCTGTTCTCCTCGCGGTGATTCAGGAATGCGCATGACGTTCAGAGGGCTGATGGACAGCTTGCGCAGCTCCTTCTCGGACGAGTTGTTCAGTACTCTCAGGATCTGGTCCTGCTGCTCGCGGGTGTACTGCTGACCAAAGGATATTCTCCGAATGCCACCCTGTTTTACAGCAAAACAGTTGTGGTCTAGGTTTGCAGTGTGCCGTAGATGGAAAGTTATCATCATCATCGTGTACCAGCAAGCACTTACTCACTGCCCAAGTACTCTGCACAGATTGTTTACAGAAGAAACTGAAACGTGCGGACCCTAATCAATGCTTGTATCAGTGTGTTCCCTTAATTTTTTGTGGACCAGTGTGGCGAGTACAGGCATACACCCAATTCATGTGGCACATTGCAATTTAAAGAGCAAGTACAGTCATGCATAGTGTGCGGGGAAAAATACAGGTGGGTGGGTAAAAAGCCTGGCCAAGCCAAGACCTCCTAGGTGCGTACCAGCTCTGCCCTGACCAAGACATGTGGTCGAAGAAATCCCAACGAGACAGATCTCCACAGACTCAATCGCCATTAGGCACAAAACGTTCTGCACTTAGTGGTAATCAAATGTGGACTACCAAGAAGCTTAAATATGGAAGTCAAGTTATTTAACGCTACTGAGTGAATGTTCGCCACCATTTTTGTGTGCCACAGGTATTCCAATTCAGAGCCAACACAACTGGACATCACGTTGCATCTTTATCAGCAGCAGCCAGTACTCAGCAAGCCCATTCAATTTTATATGTTTGCAAATATACTGCTTTCATCACCTATCTTCCTACAAAACATACTTGGCTGCGTTTACAATTCCTTGGCATCTGCTCCGCAATTCTAACCAGCCACAGGTTACTTGTCCTATGCAGTGCATGGCCTACCCACCTTAGTTTCTTGTTATTAACGTCAACTGCAAGATCAGTCGCCGCTGTTTTCTTTGTGATCTACTCTGCTGCCCTTCTACATCTTAACGTAACGTATATCACTTCACATTCTTTGACATCATTTGGACATTTTGATTTAGAATGTAAAAAACTTGCGCGCTTACAAAGCCTTGAATTTCGCATTCTCATGGCCAGCGACGCTTTGTGTGACAGAAGCGGTCACGAGGAGACCTCCTTACACATCGCGTGTGACTCTCCTCTCAATGGTCCACAATAATGTTTTCTCGGAGCTGCATTAGCTTTGAGCAAAGACCAATGCCACAGCAAGCCGTCTTTGAATGCTAACCTTGCAAGTCATCGCAGTAGAGGACTACAAAGGCACTTTTCCTGTTTTCTAAGAGAGGAGAAATGAACAAGCGGCTGTGACAGTTTATAAAGAGTGCTAGTGCACAGTAAGAATAAGTGGCAGTAGTAACTAGGGGCTATAGGGTGTATGTTCTTTCTTTCTCCCTCAGTTTCAACCTCGCTCTCTCCCCACTTGTCTGTTCGCGCAGCATACTGTATTTCCGTCCTTACTGACCTCCCTGTCATCTGACTAATCTCTATCTTGTTGAGAACTAGCTGCAGCGCTGTCACCGTTTAAATCGAGCTTTCGACGGCACACCACGAATGCTTCCATGCTGTGCGGTGTTTGCCAACATAGGCTGAAGCCTGACAGAAAAAAAAAATTTGAACATAGTTTGAACGAACTGCCACGGCCCGGTTTCCAAAAGCCCTCGTTCAAACAGCAGTTTCAGCGATGAGCAAGCTGATTACAAAGCACAGCACCTCTACCACCATCCACATGGTTAAGTTTATTTGCGTTAAACTGAAAACTTGGGCATTTGTTTAACAAGACAACGTCAGACAAGAAAGTGTCCGTGCAGATCGTGTTCATCCATATGATCAATGTTTCTAAACGTCAATGTAAATGTGCACGCGTGAAAGAGATGCGAGCACGTAGTGTCTTATGCCGCGTAAGGTACTTTAGAACTTCAGATCCAGTCAGCTACTACACAAGTTCACCGTTAAAAACGCCTGAAAACCTTTGAAACCAAATGTGCTTTCACTCGAATACGGAAAGCAATCATCACAGCTGGGTACGCGCACAATAGAAACCAACAGTGTTCAAAAAAGAAGTCTATAAACGCGCGAGCCTAACACCGACGCCAGTTAGGTGCTGATAGTTAAGAATGTTTAGTGGCTTTCAACACTGTGAACCGGCATTCGCCAGTACAGAGACGTGTCAGTTTGCAAGGTCGCGATTGCAGAGTGCGGTCGACAAGCGAAAGTGATCGCTTAAACGAATCAAAACTCTCGTTAACTGAAGCGAACGAGACAGATTGGAGATCACATTTACTTACTTCAAACGCGCACGCATCCTGGAAAGGTCCGAGTGTTCTGAGCAAGTTTATTCGGTTAAAACACTTCACCGGACACCGCATGCCCATGGCACCACCATAACAACTTCTCGGATGAAAAAGAAACTCGAAAATAAAAACAAAACGAGCTACTAGAGAACTTAACAAAACATGCTTACCACTAAAGGTGTATTGTGCTGCTCTCTACAATCAGGAGGCGCTGCTACAATCAACGCCTTCTGTCTATGAGTACTGTTACGTTGTTCGCCATTGGCCAAAAATTTTTGTTATTCGTCAATGATTGGTCTGCATGAGTCACGTGTTTTGTTGCGTCATTGGGCGCGTGATGCGCGCAAGTGAGCGATTTTTGATGCTTTTTGCCGGTGGTTTTCGCGAGAGCACAGCTGTGAACAGCTGTGTTTCGCGACCTTCGCAGGTGTCGTAATCACCGGCGATGATTTGTTTTGTTGACTAGTTAGACAGGTGCGGTTAAACGGTAGCCCCGCAGTAGTTAGAAACAGATGGCGCCGAACGCACCTGCGAAGCCGGAAGCTATGTGGGTCTTCGGGTACGGTTCGCTAATGTGGAAGGCTGATTTCCCATACAACCGCAAGCTCGTTGGTTACGTCAAGGGGTACGTGCGTCGGTTTTGGCAGGCCAGCGAAGACCACCGCGGCGTGCCCGGCAAGGTAAGCTTAGTTAACGGCTAGCCTAACGCACCTCTAGTTAACCAAGCGTAAAGCTATCAAAACCTTCCATCAAACTAGTTGCGAGCTTGCATAGCCGAGGTCGAAGCCTTCCTGTGGTTTCGCTTTATCATGTGTGGCTCGGCACTCGCGCTTCCACACTTTTTTGTAATGTGGCGTTATGGTTAACTAGTTATTGCCCGTTTTCCGTTAACGTGCGCGTCTGAATAACTTTATTGCAGCCTGGACGGGTGGTGACTTTGGTGCCTTCGACTGACCAAAACGTGAGCAAGTCGCCACTTTTTTTTTTTTTTTTCACACTTGCATTGCTATTCTGGGACGTGAAGGGTTGAGCGTGTTTACAAAGGTAGGAACATTGCTGGCGTCCATCCGTGTATTTCGATCTTGTTTTCACCAGGACTGCGTTTGGGGCGTCGCTTACGAAATCCCGGAGGGCGAGAAAGATGACGTCATCGGCCGCCTAGACTTCCGTGAGAAGGATGGCTACGACAGGGTATGGTATTGGTTATTTATTTGGATTTTGTTTGCAGTAACCTACAGCCAAATCACTTGTGTGCTTACCCAAGGAAATGACTGCAAGACATTGTACTGCTGCAATATTTGGTGTGTTATTCGATGTTCTGCATAATTAGTGTGAAGAGTACTTATACTAAAGCTGTCGCTAAACTGTACCATTACAGTATGAAAGCCGCCACACCTACCTTGAGAGAGGTTGGAAGCCCCACATTCGGCCAAAAAAAAAAAAAAAAGTATGGGAAATCTAAGCACTGGTGGTGACGCCACACTTGGAATTCCCAAGCTATCTGCAGGCTGTGATGCTACAGATTACGGCAGCAGTTCATCGCTAGTTGGGAATTTTTTTTTGATTAACCAAAAAGTTAATTGCATTTTCAACAAACCAAAGAACCCTTCTGTACTCATTATAACAAATCAGATACGACGATATGAATCGCAGTCTGTGACGTCACTCTTGCTGAACTCCAGTGAGAGGATTTCAATTTCAAGATGAAAAGCCTTCTTTCATATTGCTTACAATCAACTGTTTCTCTCTGCATGAGCATAATTTGCTAACAAAAAAAGCTTACCAAGCTAAACTTATATCAAGTCTTGCCCTAGAAGAACAGATAACGAACTATTGAACACAGTATCAGAGAACTGCAGCTATTGATTTTTATGCATCAGTACTATTGACATTAAAGAAACCCTGAAATGGTTTGACAATTCTGTACACCTTATTGGATGGGTGACCAAGTCCCAAGGGGTCATTTACAAACCCATTTGAGCTCTCTGCGTAAACTAATTTATTACAATGCTTTAAAGCTGCGAATCGCTGCAGATAGCTGCCACTCGGCCAAACGCGTTTTCAACCGCCCATTCACAGAGCGACATGCTCTGTCCATTTGACATCGCCATGGCTCCTGATGCGAAGTTGTGGCATTGTGTGGTTGTTGAAGGTGTGGCACAGGCCCCATGAAGGGAAAGCGCTCAGAGAAAGAGTAGAGGTAGTTGAGGGTTAAAGGTGTAGTGCAGGAGGAGGGTACCTATTTATTACTCGTATTCTATTAATGAGAGGTGCCTCAATTGAATTATGGTGCCAACGATTTGTTCCAGTAACGGTCTAACTAAAAACGGAATGTGGAAAAACCGTTCCAGGGACCCTTTAAATCTTGACCATCCTTGATATTGTGCAGAATGCTCAGTGGCTAAATCCTATAATACATGCAGTGGTAGGGAATTTTCGTTCAGTGGTTATGCTGCTTGTATAACACTTCGCTTTTTTTTTAACTACTCAAAGATGCAGCTTATTTGTATGAAACAAAATCTGTATTTAAAGCACCGGATGAAAAGGATGAACAAAAATAGCAAGGGACTGAATCCTTTAGTGTGCTAGCTCTAGGCATGCTGTTTCATCCTGTCATATAACATAAACTAGCCTTCATTAAGTTGTTACTAATTACAATCTATATTTTGCTAACTAACAAACTCAAGTCATTTGGATATAACGAAGTATTTTTGAGGCATATGTGACTGTTATAATGAGGTTTGAGTGTTTGTCCAGCTTTAAAGGACTGACAGCTAAGTTTTTATTGTACCTGCTTTCGTTTAGGCAGTGAAAATCTTACATGGAATGTGTAATCGTGAAATGGTAATGAAAAAACGTCATGAAACAAATTTATATGCGGCAACCGTGAAAGTTGTATACACACGGCACACATGTTGTAAATAGTGGGAAATGAGCACAAAAGCGGCTTGCGTTAATGCGTGTCATTTTGCTGCGCATGTGCTACAGCTCAACAATTGTGTTGTACTTGCAGCTGCAGAAGCAGTGCCACTTCTCAGTGTGCAATGTTTTTTTTACCTTGTGAAGCGTAGAATTGAGCTAGCATGAATAACATAAAAAGTCGAATTTGAAACTCTCCTTGCAGTGCACGTGATTGCATCAGACTTCGTACGGCCAAGTGAATGACTTATAATCCAGCTTCAAGGCCCTTTGCTAGGCTGCATCACACAATGTTTTGTTACTTTTACATGTGATTTGGAAATATGAATCGTACCGCACTGTGACAATGCTTGAATCTGTCAGTCTTTTCATTTCTAAGTGGATATGATATCACATTTTTGCCAGTGTCAGTCCTTTTAACAGTGTGTGTATTGTAGACATGTTTAAACCTGTGCGAAGAATACTTGTTAGCAGCATAAAACATGCACACAGACAATCTGCATTGTGTACGTGTGTCTAGTTCAGGCAATATGTTGAGCATCAAGTTTGTTTGTTTTTTTTTTTCACTTTGCCAGAACTTTCTTCCAGATTGTGGACTTCTGCAGGACTAACTTAATTTTCCGGAAACAATCTGTTTGTAGGTGCAAGTGACGTTTTACCCGGGCAAGTCCGAAGAGAAGCCCTTTCCACTCACGATCTACGTGGCACAGAAGGAGAATCCTTTCTACCTGGGCCCTGCCAATGCGTTGGACATTGCCCGCCAGATCCGCAGCGCCGAGGGCCCAAGCGGCTCCAACCGGGAGTATTTGCTCTCGCTCATTGAGTGCATGCGCAACATCGCGCCGCATGTCCGCGACCAGCACTTGATGGAAATCGAGCAAAACCTGCTTAACCTTGAGACGAGCGGAAAAAAAACGCCGCCGTCACCGCACCTCCAGTCAACGAGCCACCACAACCAGATGGCCGGTCACAACTCGCCTTCCGGCCGCAGCCAATCTGCCGGTCACAGCCCATCTGCTAGTCGCAACCCATCGGCTGGTCACCACCGCTCGTCTAGCCGCCACGACGAGAATCGAAGAGGGCAGCACGATGACAACCGCCGCGCGGAGGTGGCTTGACGTGTATGTTGACTGAGTGTGGATGGTAGGAATTTGGGTACGTGGACTCTTTCATTGGGAGCCGAGACTTTTATCTCAAAGAAAAAGCGTTCATCGCGGGAGACCTAACCGAATTGACGTGACATGCTGGCAGCTTTTACAGAGATCTTGCCTCGTCAACAAAATGCCTGAGTACTTCTATTCAAGAGTCAAGCGCGTCAAAGTTCAAGAAAATTGCAGCAAGAATCGCTCCATCCACTGTATTAATGAAAATTTGGATCTACTAAAGTTACACTGCTGGTTCCAGCACTGCGACAGTGAGCTTTTTAATTGGATGTTGAGATTTCCTTTTAAACAATGGCATTAGGCATGAAAGATTTATGCCGTTGTCGCACTGTGCCGCTGATTTCTGTCAAACCAAATAAGGATCAGATTTATTGACAGGTATTTGCTCATTCCTGCAGTTTTTGTAAAGGAACAAATTATGATCATGGAAATTGATACAGATCAGGCCTGGTTGTGATCATGTGGCAATGTTACCGATGATATTGGTGAACATCTATGGAAGCTTTTAATAATAGTGTTCTTACAATAGATTATAGATTGTCAACAATAGTCTGAGTTCTTACATTCAATACAAGTCGTGGACACTGAGGTCTTATAAATTTTTGCAAAAAAATGACAGTGTAAAAATCACTTTGATCGTGTTGTAGTGACAATTTGTGAAATCGCACCATGTCAATATCTATGTCAAAACAGCATAAACTTGCATTGCTAGCGTGAAAATTCAAACTCATTTGCATGTACTTCTGTTAGGTGTGATATAGAAATGGACAAGTATACATTTGACGAAATTTGGCCCACTACTAAGCTTGGTGACAAATGCTGCTGACAAGTTCTAAGAAATTAATGACCTGTCGTTTAGGTGAACCTCCATACAATTATACTTCAAGGGGCCCTCCAAGATTTCTCAAGACCTCATTCTTTCTCTAATGGGTTTCCTAGACTGAAGGCTAAAGAGATTAGTGCAGCAAAAATGGCAGCGATAGGGGCACACATTTCAAAGTTATTGTGTCTTGAACATTTAAAATACAATAAAATGGACGCCTACCCTCAACTCGATTTTCGCAGGATCACATTACCACATTTCTCTCGCCCTGTGATGTGGAATGGCTGCCCAATAGAACTGAAAGCTCTTAGGGGAAGCTTACATGCCATATTGCCCATTATTTCCAATGTATTGATGACACTGTTGCGTTTTAAAAATTCGAACAGCATGTATCAAACGATGCAGCTCTTGGAACGCTTCTATATTTTGTTGTTTTACTCATCTTTCTTCTTGCAGCGGCATCTATATATCAATACTGTTACATTTTTTTTCCCCTTCACTTTCTTGAAAAAACTGCGCCTAAAGCGTCCATGGTGCATTTCCTTCAGCGTCGGAGCATTTGGTGCATTCGTTGACCAGCTTTTCATTACAGTTTTCAAGCTGAAAAAATCTGAGAGCTTTAGTGTCTTCCTCGTTCAGTGAAAAACTGTGCTGAATAAAAAAGGAACCTTACTGTAATCTCTAATTTGATGCAATGCCGTGATTGCTACATCTGAGGTTACAGATATCGAATCACAGGCCTGTGCCATCCGTCATTTCCGCTTGCGATAGTTGTGGCAAGCGGCACTACGCGTTAATGCGGTCGGTACAGATTTTTTTAAGTGTTGGAGGACCCCCTTAAAACTGGCTTCTGTTCAATTTCCACTACTTATGCCATTAGCAATGCAACCACCTGTACATCTCAAATTGCATTTCAGCATCCATTCATTTATGCACACACCTGTCTCCACACGCAGCGGAATTCGCTACTACATTAATTAAATGCATTTTGTAGGTGTACGTTGTGAAAGAGACTAAGGCACAAAAATGCAATGAATGCACGAGAAACCAGGCAACCCAAGCACAGTGTTGGGTTGTCTCGTTTCGTTCTTCGATGTCATCTTCTCTCCAATGCTTGTGTTATGCATGGCAGTTTTCTCACTATATTTCCTTTTCTTCTCACATTCGTGTTGCCTTTACCTCTTTTCATGAAGAACAGTCGTTGCAACAGTCACATCACACACGGAAATAACTTTGCTACATCTGGAAATTTGTTATTAATGAGAATTCATTATATGAATTGCAAGACCATTCTAAATGTTATTTATTTATCATATCTCTATTCACTATGTCAACGTTTAGTGAAGTGAGTGGTGCAGCGTCAGCCTCCACTCATTCAAAAATCTTTCGTGTACGCATTCTAGGTGTATGCAATAGGACCGATTCTCGGGGTTCGCATTCTAGCTGGACATTACTTATGCTGTGGGGGCAACACGCCTGCTATACGTATAGTGACATTTTCCACAAATGCTAGAAAAAGCGTTCAAGCGATCCTCACAGCAACAATGGAAAGTTGTTGCACAACGAAGAGTCACATTTTTTTCCTGCGCCCTATTTCTGACATGTGCCGTGCAGGTGATTGCCTGATTAGGATTGATTTTACTTAATTGACAAATGTGCAATAAAGAAAAAGCTTTTTCTTTTGTTTTTAGCGATGCACTGTTGGGTTTGTTTTTTTTTATTCGTAATGTAAATCGACTGGCAGCGTTACGATTATGCGGAGCAGATGTACGAACTTGCAATGAGCTCGAATTGAAGACTGTGCACATTGACACAGCATACAAGATGTTTGAGTATTTGTTGATGGGACATAGCCATTTCATTGCGTGCATGTCTCTCCCGTTCGTTCTGTGAATACTGTGCACTCCCAACATTTAGTCTGCAAATGTACAGATGAGGGGGGGGGGATATAATATAAAGATTGAGCAGGTGCTCTTAAAGGTGCGCAATACATTGACAATTTTGACAGTAACAACGAATTACGCTTCTGCAATACAGAAGTGCCACTGTTGCCTCAAAAAGACACTTAGTATGTGTGAAAACATGTTGAAAGAAAATACAGGTGGGGTGTGCTGTCTTGAGGATCTCGTAGCAGATCTCCGTGGCTCTGCAGGTTTTGGTAGCACACGCTACAGTGGTCTAGTGGCTAAGGCGCTCAGCTGCTGACCCGCACGTGACGCGGGATCGAATCCCGGCTGCAGCGGCTGCATTTTCGATGGAGGCAAAAATAATTGAGGCCCGTGTACATAGATTTAGGTGGGCGTTAAAGAACCACAGGTGATCGAAACTTCAGGAGACCTCCTCTACGGTGTCTTTCATAATCATATGGTGGTGTTGGTACGTTAAACGCCAACAATTATTATAGTTTTTGACAGCGTCCGCTACGGCCTACGTTTGTTACACATGAATCGCATTGTGTTCCATGGTAGCTAGAAACGTAGTGCAACAAACCTGGGAAAGTATTTTTAGACCGCTGCGGCCAATGTACAAAAAGAAAAATTTTAGGAAAAGACCGCCAGTCCTGCACGGAATGTGCAGCAGTTGCTGCGAAAGCTGGAAAAGCAGCCTTTCAAAGCCTTTTCTAAGCACTCTTTGCGTAACTGCTACAAGCACACTTGTTGGGTACCCAATACACCATAAGTAATCATAATTTTTCTGTAGTAGGCTGGCATTCACTCTGCTATCCTCAGTCATTTTTTCAAGAAGCGTGGTATCTGCTGCACACTTGCAAGGAAGGAATTTTGTGCAAATTTTTTTATGCAGTAGTTGACGAGAAATAATTAGGCCTGAAGTGGGTATGTGCCACAGTTAATAAGTGATTATGAACAAGCTTCTGTAACGGGCTGAAGCATTGGTTGACCCACTCATTATGCAATTCACATTGTGTGACCTCTGGTTGTTCCTTAGCTGTTCCAAAGTGCTCTGTTACTCCTATTAACGAGATTCCTTTCCCGACATAACCTGCGTAAGGAAAGTTTGTAAACGAGTTCCAAGCACCAGCGTGGCTCGGTGGTAGAATACTGGGCTGATGCACAGGGGGCCTGGGTTCGAATCCCATTGTGGCCTAGGTGTTTTCTATTTACCGAGTCTTTTTTTTTTCTTATTTCGTGCGATTGTGATTATAGACATCGGCGGCGGCGGCGGACAACTACAGCATCGCACGTGACCCGTGTTTGTGAGCTCAAACCAGTTTTCGCTCTAAAATCCATGACACACACATACCGGTACAGAAGTCATAGTGAAAAAAATCCCTCAAACTTGATTCAAGTAGTTAACCAGTGGTTGTAAAATTAACGTGTCATGGTAAACAATTTAGCAGCTTGAACTGGTCTACTGTCTCACTTTGGTGTCCCTTTATTGTTTTTTTTTAGAATCGGTACACAAGCAAAGCATAAGTTTTATTGATGCTAATTACTCTAGAACTTTAATGACGAGTCTGAATTTATTAGTCTTGAGCAACTACTAGCGCCGCATAAATTTTTTTAACAATGAGGGTTTACTGCTACCTCAAAATAAAATGGATAGCTGCTCCGAAAAAATTTTTTATGTACCAGCGGGGTGCAAAAAAATAGATGCTTTGAAAATTTATGATGTAATTAAGCATTCAGGTTCTAGTAATGATGCTACGATTCCAAACTTGAGGTTAGAGTTCTTGAACATTTTTTTTTTAACCTGGTCTACTGTTATACTTTAGCATTCATTTATGGTTATTTTTTTAGAAGAGCTCAAAGTAGGCAAGCGAGGCATCCAATTCATTGAAGACGTTGCTCCAGAACTTCCCCAACAATGATGAGTATGTGCACATTCGCAGAAGGAAATACTGGCACATACGGACCGTTTTCACAGTTTTCACAATAAGGCTTCACTGGTGCCCCAAAATAATATGCCTTTAACATAACACCTAGCATAACACCTTTAACATAACAACATAACATCTAACATAACACCTTTAACATAACAAAGTTCAGTTGATCTTCCAGAGCGTCTCTTTCACAACTTTTTCATCATCCACACCTCATTGTTCGCATTCACTTTCTGCTGTGGTGAAGGCAGGGGTGGAGGTGGTGGCGGCACTGGCAGCTTTCCTGGCGTCTCTGGGCAGTGAACTTTCTGTGAACTGTCCTTGCCAAGCGATATGCCTTTCGCAGGAGATTCCTTTGGTTTGCCGTTAAAGAGCCTCGCAAGCCGGTCCACGTGGATCGCTGCGCCTGAAATCTTGGAGGCACAAACATGGGGAAATGTGTTAGTACCTCTGGGACAGAAGACGTATCCCAGCTAAACTGTCCTTCAACTTCAAAGGCCCAAGGCCACCTGAGAACCAGCGAATGTGAACTGCATAATTAAAGAGTGTTTCCTTATGACCATTCATTGATGAGACAGAACCTCAAGATGCATTGACTACAATTAATACGAGAGCTCGGCAGGTGGGAGTGGCCAAGAATGTAGTCAGAAATGCTTCTCAGAGTGGGGGTTCAACTACCCTTCATGCATGCTTGCCAGTGTGTTTGTATGTGTGCATGTACATCATGCAAAATCAAAAATTTTCAAAAAATGGGGAGAGTTGAACACCCCTCCACCCCATCAGACAGTGTCAAATGGGGGCAAGATGCGTTCTGTTGCATAAGCAGTGTTATGGTCAATAGACTACGAGCAAAGCATCACAGGTTCACAACCTACAAGTCCACATAGATTTCCAAGAAATTATATTTAGGAATATGAATATATGATGACATCGCGTGTGAATAACATGATGTCATGTTAATTGCATCCTTGTTGATTATTAAATCGTCTGACATACATGACATACAAACACAGACATAAAGCGATCTCCAACTCGATATATCACTTGCACGAGCAGCAGCAAGGCATCAAAGAGGCCTCACCGCACATACAGGAGCGCAGATCGTGTATCCTATAGCCTCGTAGAACTGTTCTTTGTCATGCGTTGAGAGGTAGCACTTCGTGAACCCTTTCCTTTAAAGAGAAAAAAGATGGAATGCAAAGTTATAATAGTAGTATTTCTGGAATAATAGAGTTCAATGTGAAGGGCCATATCTACAGCTATGAAAGGTATTGCAATCAATGCTTCCATGTTAATTTTAACAAACTGTGGTTTGCTAAAGTGCATGTGATTGGCAATACCATCCACTAATAAAGGGAACACTTTATTGTGCACCATTAAAAGTGCAACGCCTTATATAACTGCAAACGAATGTAAAAAGACAGTTCACCTATGTACAGTTGGGTCCAAAGGGGTCAGAGCCGCAAATACGAGCAGTCTTGAGTAAATACATTTTATTTCATCACGTCTTTGCAAACTGAGTGAAATTTGAACATGCCTTCCACGCGAGTGTTACCTTTACTGTGAAGCCGTTTGTACAACAGGAGCATTTTGCAGTGTGTTCCAATCGACATGTGGTTAATGACATACTTTGGCCGCAAAGTATCACAAACACAGTGTAAAGAAACACACAGCAAACCGGGATCCGCTTGCCCTTGTCGTTGTGTGTTTCTTTACTCTGTGTTTGTGATATTTCGTCGGCTAAAGTATGTCATTAAGTACCACCTAGTAGGCCAACAATCAGTTTCGATACGGCATGTGATTGTCTCAGTCAGGATGCCAACCCACAATCTTGAATGGAACGACTAATGATAGTCGCAGTATGCCAGGTGGGTAATTTGTAGCCATCATGTAAAAAAAAATAACTATTGTGAAAACTGAAACTTACTTGCGAGCATACTCTTCAGTGAGCTTCATGACTAGCTTTCCAAAACCTTTTCCTCTTTCCTCTGGAATAACTATAACTGTAGGGGAAGGAAATTATATTCGTTATTATATTGTTCTGCCATTAAAGCTTGGGTTGGTGCATCATGCCACCTAGTATGCCTGACACATTTTATTCCCATTTATTCTGGCATTGCGTAAAGATTCAAACAGCAGATTAACTTATTGGTGAGAAAATGCAAACCATAATGCAGAATTGAAGCAATTCAACATTACTGAGTTATGCTCAACAGAATTCGAACAGTGTATTGCTTATATTATAACCCGGAGGCTTACAAAGAGGGTTCACCTTAAATTGAGGACGACGCAGCAACCGCTGGTATTATATTTTAACCCGGAGGCTTACAAAGAGGGTTCACCTTAATTTAGGACGACACTAGTAGCGATGGAAAGAAAAATAATAGCTGTAACGTTAAGAGACAAAAAAGTGCAGAGTGGGTCAGAATACAAACCAGGGTTAAAGATATTGTAGTCGAAATCAAGAAAAAAAATGGGCATGGGCCAGGCACGTAGCATGTAAGCAAGATAACCACTGGTCATTAAGGGTAACTGACCAGATACCCAGAGAAGGCAAGCGGGTTAGGGGGAGACTAAAATGGGTCGATGAGAATAAAAAGTTTGCAGGTATAAAGCGGAAGCAGAGACCACAAGACCGGGTAGATTGGTTGAACATAGGAGAGGTATTTGCCCTGCAATGGGCGCAGTCAGGCTGCTGATGTTATATTTTGGGTAAGCAAGTTGCTTTTTTTTTTTCGGCTGTTTAACGACACTGAATGACACTACACAAACTGACCACTGAGATGACAAGACTGAAGTAAACTGATAAAGTAGCAGGTGGTGCTGCGTATTGATGACCAACACAATAAAAACATTTAGTTTGTCGTTGCGTGTCTCAGTAATGCAATGCAGGTGTAACGAGTGCTCTCTTTGGGTTAAAACATAAGAAGCATTTTGATGCAGTATGAGGTTCTTAGTTGACAGATTTTTACGGTTGCTGTCCTTTATTTAAATCTATAGATTCCTTCTTTGTTCTGAAGGGTTTGACTTGGTGCTGTTAAAGCTAACAAGCAAAAAATGTCAGGCCAGCATGGAACATGCAGCAAAGTCACAGCAAGATCTAGTGGGGCAGCATTTCTGGAACCTGTGTAAACTGTCTTGGGTCGACTACTACAAGAGCAGTTACAAGATATTCACCACACCATATTGCGGCATAGGATAGTACCCGATGTGCTGTTATTGAACATTTCGACGAGAAGCAAGGTACTCACTATACGTCCATAAAGCATTCCATGTACTTTGTTGATGCTGTGGCTGACAACGAAGGATTGTGGCTGGGCCTTACATTTGTTAGCGCGATTCCTTGCCTCACATGATGCCTGTACAGGTGTTTTTGCAGAAGTTTTTTATGCACTGGTGTGGCTCTGCGATGGAATACTAGACTGCCATTGGGGTGCCTCTGTTTAAGAATTGCTCGATCCTGAATATTTTTTCTCATTCTGCGCGATAGTAGTTGCAGCCAGCAGGAGTGGTCGGGGACAACTATGTCACCAAAATCAGCTGTTGTTATCTCATAACAGCTTTCATTGGTAAAACTGCTCACCGGATTCGACAAAGCAGGCTTCGTCATCGTGCAGCACGCGAGAGAGCTTGGCATGGCCAATCACTTGGCCATCCAGGCCGTCTCGATAGCCTGAGCAGTGCCAGCGAGACGGGCAAATCGCTGCTGGATTTGCTGAGGCTGTGGTACCTGCGGACAGCCAGCTCATTATTCTTAGCTCAGTTATAGCGAAACTTGCTATATAGATGCAGGTTATTTTCTATTGGTTAAACAATGGATGAGTTTGAAGTTTCTATTGTGGCACTATGTGTGACATTGATAACTGTGTGTCTGTCAAGTCTATCTATCTATCTGATCTATCTATCTATCTATCTATCTATCTATCTATCTACCTATCTATCTATCTATCTATCTATCTATTTGTGTGTACACACATCTCCTATATGGGTCGATGAAAAAGGGTAATGCATGGGCACATAGGTAACTGCGACTGCACTATGTATGCAAAATAAAAATTGCTACTTTCGTAACTCAACATGTGCAGAAAAGGTTGGAATTGAGATTAGTATGGAATAACACGTGATATATTTTTTTTCTACAGAAATGTACACCACTGCTATAGTAGCCAGATGGAGGCGTGATACTCGCCCCCCCCCCCCCCCCCCCATATATATATATAACAGATGTCGAGCATGTGCCTGGTTTGTTTCTGTATATAGTATACCTGTATACCTTTTCAGAGACTCCCCTGCCAAATTGAAGATATAGCTTTAGTTTTTAAAATTAAAAACTGAAAATTAAACTTGGCTGGAGAGGCTTTTTATTATAATTTTATCCAGCCAGCCAGATTTCTGTCAAATGTGTTTACCTTTATATGGCAGTGTTGCGCGTCTAACTTCAAAACACCCCTAGCATATGTGCATTGCGGAGAAGCTGATGCTGGCTGATGCTCGGGCACGGCGTAAGAAAAGTATTTTCGTACACCACGCGCTCGAGCCATTTTTTTTTTTCATTTGCTTAATCCGAGACTGAAGCAAACTGGTTTGAAAGCAGTCATTGCCAGTCAACCTAACTACCGCTCAGCGATACAACAGATGTCAATCAGCGACGCGTTGGACATGCGGTTTCCAAAAACAGAATGCAGCTTCGCCACACGGTCATGGCTGTGAAACTACAGCGGTAACTCGATACGAGTTTATAGTTACTGTTTACGGCCATGGAGTATGAGACTAAATGTAACGGCACAATGGCGACACCTATGATTCATTAGATCACGACGTATATAACAGTAAAACGTCTAAGTATGCACAACTGATATCATTTTAGAATTTTCGCTACAGCATAGCAGCACACGAAACTAAAACATACCCCGTGTTACCGCGAAGAAAATACACCGTTTAACTGTAGATTGGCATATAGCAGTTGATTGTTACGTACCGAGCCGCATGACTGCGTTTCCATTGGTTGTTCAAGATCTCACAGCAAGCGTTTATGTACTCGGGATGATCGTGAAGTTCAACAAGTTCCATAGTGGCGTCGGTGCCGTCATAACTGTGGTCAAAACTTTGGCTCATGGCGGGCGTGACGTTTATTGGAACAAACGCCGAAAAGCAAAGCCTTTGAGATTGGTAGTTTTTACTCAAGCGAAACCATTTTTTACTCCTATGAATTTGTATAAGCGATTCTTAAGTTTTAGAATCTCAATCATAATGCCCTGAACTTTATGTACAGAGCTTACGATCCACTAGATTTCTGTAAGTGCCGGACTGAGCAGGTACAAATCTTAAAGGCTACGCCTTATCTGGCCATCTTGTGGTCAAACATATGTCATCGCCTCGTGATTTCAAACAATACTACTAAAATTTTTATAGCGACTTTCAAGTTTTGAAGTTGAAGCTATTTGTGAGAGTTCATTTTTTGCTTCATACGTACTCATTGATATTAACTAAAGGTGGCGACTGTCATCGCAACAATCGCATCAACCGCATCAACAGCCTGTGTACAAGCCGGTGCATAGCCTGTGCTACGCTGCCGCAGGCTAATTAGTCTCGCGTTCCTATGCATATTCAAAGGATCAAACTGTTTGAAACGTACAACACCTCATCCACTAACTGCCATTCGGCGTTCCTGCGCATCGTACGCTAGTACTGTTTGTTCTAGCGTGCATCATGGTTTGCTATTCGCTCGGCAAATTTGCTTCTTGAGTTACAGCACGCTGCAAGCACAAGCCTCGTTCGTGCATTTATCGTTCGTCGTTTCTGTACGTTACATGCTGACTGTTCTCATGCGATCGGCACTCTCCATGCTTGTTAAGCAAGGAGAAAAAAGAAAAATTTTACGTTTTCGTTGTCGCTGCTACCGGGAGTTTCCCTTCAGCTGATCATGTTCAAGCTTCGACAACATATTCAGGCTGCGGAGCGTGTCGTAAGAGAAAAGAACAATTAATTAAACCGGTAATCAGAAGAAAGGAAATATCCTTTCATCTTTTTTTACGATCCTCTTGTCACTGTAGAAGCGCGCCGTCCGTTCGGCGCCGTGGCTTAGTTGGTTAAAGCGCCTGTCTAGTAAACAGGAGATCGTGGGTTCGAATCCCACCGGTGCCTTTTGCTGCTTCCAACTTCATATAATGTTATGAACACCATTTGCTTCTGCGTACTCATATTGGGTCTCATTTTTATTTTGTTTTTCTTTTATTTTTATTTTTTTTTTTGTACGCCCAGGACACGTTTCTCGCGCCCTTCCCATTGTCTGCGACAAACGGCTAGCAAAAATGTCGTTCTCCTGTGCAAGTCACCAGGAACAAAGAAGATGCTGCAACCCCACCCCTAAAAATATTTCGCCCGCCCCTCTATATTTTTCCCACTCCCCTATAGAGCAAACATATTCGCCTCGCTATGGCTTTTCTCCGGGGGCCCCTCCCTTGGAGTGAAAAACATCTTGGCAACGAGGATTACAAGTTCACGTGTCTCAGGTCATGTTGCCTGTTTCTGGGTGGGTTTGAGCGCAGGTATGATGTTGAGTAATTGAAATGAATTGAATGATAATTAATTTTGTACTGGTGCATCTTTGGTCATCATGGCCCTCGGGCCAATAAACTCCATATAGCATCATCATCACCACCATCATGTATGACAAGCTTCGGCCAAAGGCGAGGGCGTCGGCCGGGGGGTGCAAAATGGGCAGTTAGCACTCCCCCCCCCCCCCCCTAAAAGCAACATGAGTTCTACCCAAGGAGGTTGTTTCTACCCTTCCGCACCCCACCCCTCCATCAGCCGCGATGTAACACAGGTTACGTATGTGTGTGGACGGCTGCAGTCGCTTGGGGGAAGAGGCCTCGTAGTTTGAAAGGTACCGCCTTCCCCCCGCCCCCTTCGAAAATTTATTATTTTACACGCTCACAATATTTTATACAGCACGTGCATATAGCCCCCACCTCCGAAACATACTCCCCTGGAGGTGGGATGAGGGTGACTCCCTCCCCAGGACCATTTGACCTCCAAGGAGATTAATTCAACTAACCCTGTATACACCTGGAAGGCACCGTCCGTGTCTTTATATTTCTGAAAATTCATTTCGACGCTGCTGCTGATAATGGTAATATTCAGAACTACGATCGAGAACTTTATATAAACAAAATATACCTATTCAATGGTAAGAGAGAGGGTTAGAGCTACATAATTGGGCGATAATCACGCGTCGAATGAAATCGCTGATGGGAAAACATGAATAAATGAATTCGTCAGATAGGATCCCGTGCTAGTGCACCAGCTCCTTAGTATGATTAGATTACTCGGTCATTTTCGAGCAATGCAATCGAGATCTTGATATAAAAAATTACAGTCCCCGAGAAAATCTATCTGTCCCTTAATTTTAGTGTCAACTTAATGGGCGCCCCTTAAATGAAGGACGATAGCGTTATTCTCTCCTTGCGCTTCCCTTTTATTCGCACAAAGATTGTGACGTCAGCAGTCTCTTCACTTGACGTCATGGGGAGTAAACTTTTGATTGGCACATATGCGAGGCATGATAGGGTGTAAATAATCATCCGTGCACTCGCTTAACTATCGGGCGTGATCATTCTGCGTTTTTCACTGCGCAAGTAGAGGAGGCAGCCGAAAAGCGCGAAATCCTGATAGTCCCAACGCTGCTGACATTGTCCGCACAATAAAATTGTCCACACACAATAACTCTATGGCATTGTACACTTGTTTTATGAAGAAATAAGTGGCGAGGATGAGATGACGCCTGTAGAAATTGTGTCACGAGTAAAACCACTGTCGTCTTTAAACTCGCAGTAGCTTAGGAACCCCTGGAGCCTTCGAAGGAATACGGAACGAAAAGCTTGCGTGTACGTGTTTCGCATCAGAACAAGGGTTTTCGAAAAGAAACGGTTCTGCGGTTTTTAGCTGTGCCCGAAGCTGTGCCGTATGACTCCAAGCGGTCACCAGTAGAAGCTGCAATGACGTCATGACACCGACATCATTAATCCATCTACGCGCACATTCCGCGCGCGCGCGTTCGCTGCAGCTGCTGTAGGTGTTCAGTAGTTGCGGAACGGTGGTTCTCTAGTCTATGGTGCAGCTTCGACAGCGCTTCTCTGACGTGGTACGTCGGAAACGCCGAGGTAGGAGCTAGCTAAAACAGCCAGATCTCATCGTCTGCCGCGTCGTGCTTCGTCGTCAGCCGATATTCGTGTTCGTTTTGGCGGAAGGGAATGCCTAGGCGCTGCTTCGCGCAAGGCTGTCGTAACAAAGGCGCCGGCCGTGACACGCCGTCGCACATGTTTCCCAGAGACGAGAAGCTGCGTCAACTGTGGATACGGGCTGTTCAGCCATCCCGCCCAGGCTGGACACCTGGAAAACATGACTTTGTCTGCTCGGAACACTTCTGCGACGACGATTACAGGACCAGCCCAACGCTGCTGAAAAGCCTCGGCATGTCGCTCAGATGGCAACGTCTAAAGCCTGATGCTGTGCCCTCGCTCTTACCGCGCAACGTGGAAAGGATGAGCGATGCGTTTAAGGAGAGGAGGCGGAAAGAAGTGGGTCTTTTTTTGTTCACTTCATGCCAATGCACCATTCGAAAATTTTATTGTGTACTATAAATAAGTTAGTGTGTCATCTTCGCAGCAAAGCATTGGGTGAACGGTGACCTCTCGCGATAACGTCACCAGGAAGCGCTACGATCGAATGGTGTGCTCTGAGCGCGAAATTTAATTTACGAGGGTGATAATTTGTGCTTTTTGGTATGGCAGCATGGTAGTTGATGGTAGCGCAGACTAAGGGCACTAGCAAAAGAAGGCACATTCGAGACACCACAGCGCTAACTTTCAATAATAATTGTTACATCGTGCATAATGAATAGCACAGCATAAACGGAGACATCTTGTTTATTTCATCTTCCTCCTTCTCCCCCGTGGCGGCCACCGAGCGCGTGCCACCGCACAGCGCTGTAGTCGGTAGCGACGCCTTATACCACATATCCCCTCTTGCAAAAAAAAAAAATAAAATAAAATAAAAATAAATGGTAGAAACACACAAAACTGTTTTTGTCTACTTCCTAACGAAGTCCTTCAATTTCTTTGGGGTCTTCTTTTTACGCTTGCTTTTCCTTGCAGGCGCATTAAATCCTGGACTGGTCAAAGCTTGCGTGCCGTCTGGTGGAGATGATACGGGGTCTGCCCTTTCATGACCATCCGCTCTTGATGTGTCCCATTGGGGCGTACTAGATGACCGATCAGATGCAGGGGACCAGTTCATAAGGGCAGCGGTTTCAGGCTGTAATGCATGAGAAGACCGATTAAATGCAGGTGTCCAGTTCATAACAGCAGGGGTGCCCGATTTCATTTTGTTGACCGCTCCGGAGTGAACTGCGATTAACTTAGATGCGTTCCACACACGCCCATCGTCCAAAAGGTACGAGGCCGGTCCCCGTTTTCCAATGATCTTCTTGGGCGCGGAAAATTGTGAAGACAGCTTACCGTGAGCTGCAGTTGTCTTAACGCGCACGTAATCACCAACGACGAAACTGGGTTCCTTGGCTCCACGTTTTTCATCGGTGTAGCTCTTCGAGATCATTTGCTTCTTTTTGACATGCTCTCGTAGCTGTTCAATCGCCCTTGACGGGTCCGTGCTGAAGCATCTGTCGGGCAATCCCAATATGTCAAGTCTGGTGCGAGGTTGGCGTCGATGAAGAAGAACAGCGGGTGTCGCACCCGTAGTCGCGTGAGGCGTACAGCGATATACTTGCAGGTAATCAAGCATGGCTGTTCGTACGTCACGACGTTCAAGCAGGGCTAGTTGAATGTACGACTTCAGCACCCTATTGAATCTCTCCACCAAGCCGTTAGCTTGTGGGTAATACACGGAAGAGTTGTAGTGCGTTATTCCACGCTCCGTGAGAAACTCGTCAAAGCTTGCTGAAGAGAACTGTGGTCCATGATCGGATACAATACTACGTGGGTAGCCTTCTCGCGCAAAAAGTTCAAGTAAAAACTTCTTCACTGTAGACGTGGTCGCATCTCGCACGAACGCCACTTCAGGCCACTTGCTATAATAGTCAATAACAGTAATCGCAAAACGGCAGTCGGCCGAAGCTTGCGTGAAAGGTCCCACAATGTCGATGGCAATTTTTTCCCACGCCGCGTCAGGAAGAGGAACAGGTTGCAGTGGCGCTGGAAAGGTACGTGCGGACTTGTCACAAGACTGGCAAATCACGCATGTGCGCACCAGTTCTTCAATGTGACTATCCATGCATGGCCACCAATAGGACTCTCTCAGGCGAGCTTTGGTACGACTAATGCCTGGATGTGACTCGTGGGCCAGATCCATAAGGCGGCGTGTCAACGTTGCAGGCACGACAATCCTGTCACCCCGGCATAGGATATCACTTACAACAGAGAGTTCAGCCTTCACGTAAAAGTAAGGTAGCAATTCTTTTGACAGTGATTTCTTGTCAGGCCAAGAAGTAGTCGTGAAGTGCTTAACTTCACAGATAATCTGATCATTGGCACTTGCTTCTTGAAGTTCTGGCATGGTAACTACGGGAGACAACAAACAGATAAATTCCTCTTCTGGTGCATCGCGGATTAAACTCTGGACGGGTAGCCTGGAGAGAGCGTCAGCCACGACGTTTTCGCTACCTTTCCTGTATTCGACGGTATAGTTGTAGCAGAGCAACCGTGAGGACCAGCGCGCAATCCTTAATGGTCGGTGACCGGTGCCTTTCGTCGAAAGAAGCGTAACCAGCGCTGCGTGATCCGTTCGTAAGATGAAAGGTCGTCCCCATAGATAAACGTGCCAGTGTTCGCAAGCCCAAACACAGGCAAGGGCCTCACGTTCGCCGACTGAGTATTTCCGCTCATGCGGTTGAAGTGTGCGGGAGGCGAATGCGACAGTTTGCAGTGAGGTCCCGTTGTCTTGCTGAAGTACTGCACCTAATCCATATCCTGAAGCATCAGTTGTAACGAACACAGGCAAGTGAGGATCGAAAAGATGAAGCACTTCGCAAGATGTGAGCAGAGATTTCAGGCGCTCCAAACTGCTCTGTGCTGCCGCACTCCAAACGAAAGAGGCTTGTCCTCGTAGCAAGGCGCGCATTGGCTCGACAACATCCGAAAAATGAGGAATGAACTTGGAATAGAAGCCTGCAAGCCCCAGTAGCGAGCGGAGTTCGTTAATATTTGTAGGTGATGGTGCCTTTGTTATCGCCTCAATGGATGACATCAACGGAAATAATCCTTTGGCGCTCACAACGTGACCTAGAAAAGTCAACTCTGCCACGTCAAAGACACACTTGTTGTTGAGCCGGAGGCCAGCATCAGAAAGACGTTGCAATACAGCGCGCAAGTTTCCCAAATGGTCCTCTCGGGATCGCCCATACACGATGATGTCATCAATGTAAAATAGGACACATTTGCACCCTTTCAAGATCATGTGCATCATTTTCTGGAACGCTGATGGCGCCGACGCCAGTCCGAAGCAAACCCTCTTGAAGCGAAATAGTCCATCGTGAGTGATGAACGTGGTAAGGTCACGGCTCTCTAAACTGAGCGGTAACTGGTGATATGCAGAAGCTAAGTCTAGCTTCGAGAAACGCTGTGCCCCAGCCAGGCTGTTCAGGAGCTCCTCAGTTTGTGGCAAAGGAAAACTGTCTACTACCACAGCTTTGTTTGGCTCCCGTAAGTCAACACACATGCGAATCGAGCCGTCTTTTTTTCTGGCTACGACAATAGGGGAGACCCACTCAGAAGAGTCGACACGCTCAATGATGCCCTGAGCTTCTAATTTCTGAACTTCTGCCGAGACTTGCTCGCGAATGACAAGTGGCAGTCGTCTCAGTTTGCTGGCCACCGGTTGTACAGACGCGCGAACTCTGACCTTGTGAGTGAAACCTCTCACAGTTCCCAGCTCTTTTGCAAATAGGTGCTCAAACTCAGAACGTAATTCTGGAGGTAGCACCGGAGTTTCTTGCGTCATTAGAAGACACCTGAGCGGTGACCCTTGGATCTTCATATCCAGAGCAGCGATGCCGTCTAATCCCAGAATGGTCGTTCCCCCAGGCACAACGTATAGTAGAACAGAAGTGCATCGGCCGTGAAATGAGGCAGTAGCAATGAAGTATCCTTGTATAGGAATTGCTGCCTTTGAATAATCGAGAAGCTGGACGGATGTAGACTTCAGTGGATACGCTTTAGAAAAATAGCGTTGGTAAAGTTCTTCGGCCAGGATCGAAACCGATGATCCTGTATCGATCAAAAATGGTACAGAAATTCCTTCTATTTCCAACGCTGCGTAAATTCCCTTCTTACGGCTCCAGATCTGACAAACACTTAAATGGTCGTCTGGATCAGCTGTATCGTTACCTTCCGCTACATGCTGAACATTCTTCTCAAACTTCCGCAATGACTTGCACACCTTTTCAAGATGGCCAATTTTCTCACATTGTCGACACCTATGTGCTTTGGCCTTGCACAGAGAGCTATTTGCAAGGTGTGCCGTAGAACCACAACGATAACATACTTGCTCTTTCGGAGATATGCGACTTTGACCGTGCATGTTATAGCAAGTACATGTGCTACAATGCCGTTCTCTGTGATTTGAAGTATCTTTTACACGATGAACTTGCAAGTCATTTTGTGCAAGTTCTCTTGCTTCATTAGTCGCTTGATCATGCTGTTTGGCAATGGTAAGAGCCTTAGAAAGCGTGAGAGACTCTTCCAGCAGAAGGCGTTCACGTAAGTATCCACTTGTGGTTTTCTCTATGAGCTGGTCGCGTATCATGTCGTCCGTTAGATCACCGAAATTGCATGCTCCTACAAGACTTCTCAGCGCGGTGACGTAATCAGCCGCAGTCTCACCTGGGGCCTGCGTACGTTGACGGAAACGGTGACGCGCTGCAGTGACGTTCAACGTGGTTTTGAAGTGACCTTCCAGCGTCGCGATGGCGCGGTCGAACACATCAGGACTAGGGGACGTCAGTGTACCTGCCGCAGCGCTCGCAGGCACGAGGCACGGGTCGTCAGTAGTCGTCAGAGTCTGGAAGATACGTTGTCCTTCCAAGCCCAAGCAGTTGAGCAGGATCGCCTTCCGACGAATGGCAGGTAGGTCGAAGGCGCCCGAAGCAACCATGTAATTCTTGAAAGCCTGGATCCATTGCTCCCATGGAATGTCCGGGTGTCCAGGTGACGACAGGAACGGAGGTGGCGGCTGTAGCCCCGAAATACTCATCGTAGAAGATGGTAGGCAATAAACGAGGGCACAGATGAGGTTCAGGCCGGTAGCACATGGGCTGGTGAATCCTCGTCGCCAAAATATGTTACATCGTGCATAATGAATAGCACAGCATAAACGGAGACATCTTGTTTATTTCATCTTCCTCCTTCTCCCCCGTGGCGGCCACCGAGCGCGTGCCACCGCACAGCGCTGTAGTCGGTAGCGACGCCTTATACCACAATAATAGTTCTATTATTCGTGTTCGGCGACGCTTGTGTCAGCAGTCCATGAGTGGCTTTGTAAAATAAAGAACTAGATGACATGTATTTGCGATAAATTATTTTTTCGTTAAGCAGTATACTAATAAAAGTGCGTTTGACATAGTGTTATCAGGTTTGTGAGATGTGCGCATAGGTTACAATTTATGGTTGTGAGAGCTATGCACGCGCGACGTACGACGTTGTTGATTGATTGATATGTGGGGTTTAACGTCCCAAAACCACTATTTGATTATGAGAGACGCATGTACGACGTTGTGAGGGTACATCTACTAAGGTGTCAGCGAATAATAAAAACTATTAATGAAAGTCAGCACTGTGGTGTCTCGAATGTGCCTTCTTTTGTCCGTGACCGTAGTCTGTGCTACCATCAATTATTTTGCGAATTATAAACCTGCAATGTGATACTTTCTGCAGTTCTTAAGTAAAATGGTCACATGACATCATTGGAACTAAATATTTGCGAGGTTTTAACACTCCGTGACATTCAGATGTTTTGTCGCTGTAAATAATCTGAGTCGTCCTGGCTTGTACAGCTCCTATCGCAGAACCGTGACCCGCATCGTCTGCACGCTTGCCGATTTGACCCCAGAAGGCATAAAAAAGCACATTGCTATTCGTTCCATGCATATGTATGCCTGTGTAGCTATCACTGACTTGATGTCACCTGAATAAGTCAGGAGAGTAGTCGCAAGGTTTTCAGTAGAAAAGTATAACTCTCCATGGCCAATACTGCTTCTTTTTTTTTTCTTAAGGTGTAGGCTTGTCCATTAACGGCGGCATTGTACAACGTAGTGGCTGCTGATGATGTTGCTGATGATGATGAAGAAGAGTGCGTTCCAGACCACAAACTCTCTTTCTGCCATCATGGCACAGCACATGCATGCATGGTACCTTCATACACCATGATGATGATAATGATCACGGACAACGACTGGCTTGTGCAGTAGATGACCTCTCATTCTGCGCTATGATGCATTTTGTATGACTGGAAAAAAACTACAACCGCCACAGGATTGTGCCCAGACCTCGTCTTTGCCAGCTTCAGGCTAGATCCGACACCACAAACCTGTAATAATGAGGGCAAAATGAAATTCACAACTGGACAAAGTACCAGTTATGGCCAGTTAACATTGTATATAACTCTACCTCATTTCACTCTCATTTACATGTGTGAGTGGTAAATGTCACGGCTGATTTGTGGTAGCACCGAACGATCCCACTGATTTTCCCACTCGTAATTTTGTTATGCGATTTTTAGGCATTTCTCTCCTCAATGAGGTGTCAAAATGCAGCAGTGCAGCTAAATGCACTGTCATGTACTCTGGGTGTTGGACTTGACCTGTGAGTAAAAGCACTCAATGCCAATCAGTCTGAAGAAAGCTAGAATGCATCAGGCTCTACAAATACCGAGTCTGCCATGCTCTTTTAGCGCTTTGTTTTGCTCTGCCGTACTCTTTGTGAAGTTCTTTTATATTCATATACTGCAGATCATTGATCAAATATTGAAAGAGCAGTCAACCAATGGAGAAGCCTGCTGTACCGGAGCAGTTCACATCAGGAAACTGCAGTGTGATGCTGGCAAGACGCCTATCACTTCAATCACTGGAGCAGGTAAACGTCATTATTAATTTACATGAGCTTATTTAACATCTGATGACAGAGTATTTCATAACCAAATAATATGAACTTCCTTTTTGGTGTGTGTGAATGAACAAGAAATGCGCATCAGAATCTTGAGTAGAAGTAAACAGAAGCATCAGTTTTTATTTAAAAGGTTGTTGTACTAAATAATAGTGCTTGAAAATATGAATAGTCAAGTTGTCTTGTGATGAACAAATCCGTAAACAGGGTTTTGGGGAGGGGCGAAAAGGGGTTGTGTCGAGAAACGTACTTGTCTTCCTCAATCATGGCTAGAAGAGAACCGATTTGTTCATCGCTAGCATGTCTACGCTTCATACCCTCTCCTCTGCCATAAAAAATGAGGCGAGGGGGTTAACATTGGATACGCAGTTGTGAGTAAGTTGGGCAGGGGTGCTCTGACGAATCGTATGAGTGAAGAAGGAACAGATATTCCACCACGAATTAAAAAAAATAATAATAAGGAAGCGGTGGGGTAATTTCTTTGCAGTGCCCGCGCAATGACCATTTAATCTAACATTAACAGGCTGCCCTGTTTCACAAATGTACTGTTTATGACAATATGAATTGTGCAAGACAGAAGCAGGACTAATAGTTGGTGTAGTTGGTGATACATTATAACACTGTTTACATATGATACATTATGTTTGTGTCTCTTCTCTTCCCCCCGTGAGTTTGTGCGCTAGTACTGCCCATACTGCCCATATTGTGCAAGACAAAAAGGGTAATTTGAAGTTATTCTCTCATACGTCATAAATTATACATTATAAAATTTTCTCATTTAATTGTGACGTGGCACTTCACTTGATCACACAGTTTCATGATTCCACGCGATTTCATTCCACTGTTCTGCCAACTGTTTCCACCTCTTTCAGTTTTCTGTGAATGTGGTGAGGAGGCATGTAAAAATAGCAGGGAGAAAGTGGAATGTGCACCACATCAAAGAATGTGCCCTGAAGTATTGTGCCAGATGTTTTCACCAGAAGCTCATGCCGCCAATGCAAGAGAAATGGCACCAAAAACACTTCAGACTGATGCAGCTGTTCAGGCATCATTAATCCACAGACATCAGGGTAGGTTGATCTGAGACATCAGCGTGTGCTCTTGTGTGGCTGCTTTTCTTTGGTAACCTTACTATGTCTAGCACATATACAGCAAGCATTGAGTCCTTGCATTGACATTGCTAACCAGTGCACCCAATGTGCTTAGCTGCGTGATATCTGAGTAGCTTGGCAAGTCGAGCTAAATAGTGCAGGTATCTAATTTTTTAAGTGCTACAAACAACATGAATACTGGCACACTAAGAAAATATCAAGTAAAAAGGGCATCTTTTTGTATCACTACAATAATCGTCATCTATCTTGCATCCCTTTCTTTGCATTATCGCCATGGACTTGGCACTTTCAGGTGACGAATGCCATGTGCGTTATCAGTGTGACATAGCATTCTTGATAGGAAATTGGGCAGCACCGAGTTTTCAAGAAAAGAACTGCAAGCGAGCCAGATGATGATAATTGTTCTGGGACAAAAAGATAGCCTTTTTATTCTATCTTCTTTTAGAGTACAAGAAACACAAGCATTCGTCTGAGCCTGTTCATTCTGTGTCCATGTTGTATCGAGCTCTCTTTGAAACTGACATATCTTAGCTGTTATACTGTCACTGATTAACTACATTTTTTGTCTCATGCTATGCTCTAGGATCACAGGTGAATATTCGAGGCAAGTCTTGTGGCGTCCAGACTAGCTGCTTTAGGCTACCTTGATCTTCAATACCAAAGCCACATTAAACAGGTTCAGATGAAGGGAAACCGGATGAAGTTGAAAACGGAAACTCTAAATGTGATCTCTACTCCGTCATGTTGTCTACACTCATGTGCATTATGACCACTCGCATCTGAGATGCGAGCTTGAACTCTTGACCAAGAAGTGGCTCGAAGAAGGTATGTGGCTTTGAAATTTTTTTGTTTTACAGCAAAAGCTGTTTTGAGATCACAACAACGGTTGTTTTTGGCGCTGTAGTTGTCCACTGCTGCCGATGTCAATAACAAGTATCGTGAAGGGAATAAAAACTAAATAAATAAAGTACGCCAAACACAGTATGGGATTCCAGCCCGAGCCCCTCTTTGTGCCAGCCCAGTATCCTACCACCGAGCTAAGCTGGTGCTTCAAACTCCTTGCAAACTTACCTTAGGCAGACTTTGTCGGAAAAGGAATCGCATCAATACATGTAATAAGGCGTTCTTGAACAGCAAAGGGCCCCGCCGCGGTGGTCTAGTGGTTAAGGTACTCGGCTGCAGACCCGCAGGTCGCGGGTTCAAATCCCGGCTGTGGCGGCTGCATTTCCGATGGAGGCGGAAATGTTGTAGGCCCGTGGGCTCAGATTTGGGTGCACGTTAAAGAACCCCAGGTGGGCGAAATCTCTGGAGCCCTCCACTACGGCGTCTCTCATAATCATATGGTGGTTTGGGACGTTAAACCCCACATATCAATCGATTGAACAGCAAAGGAACAGCCAGGCATTACGCAATGTGAATTGCATAAGTAGTGGGTGATCGAGTGCTCCAACATGTTACAAAAGTCTTGGACATAATTCTTCATCGTCGTCAACCACATCACCGAAAATTGCACAAAGTTTCTTGCAACTGTGTAGCGGGTACCACACTTTGTAATGCAGGGGGCACCCTCCTAGTGTGCTTGTAGCAGTTACCCAAATAACAGTTTTAAAAGAAAGCTTTAGAAAAGCCACTCTTCCAGTTTCTCTGCGACTGTGCTGCATTATTATAATTTCTAACATATTCTTTTAGGACCTCCAGCCCACCAAAATCTGACAGCCACAATCTGGAACGGAGGCTTTCTAATGGATATTTGCCATCTATCTACAAGTGTACAGACCTTTGCTGTCAAATTGTTTCACTGCACAAACACCCAGTTTGCCCCGAAGAGTACCGTTTTGGATATTCAAGCATGGTGGAGAGGTAAAATATATTCTGCACCTAAGTTTTATATGTGTCCTATTCTGATATGAATATATATGGATCTGATCTTTTCCAGAACATGCGTTGCTGCACTTCACTGCAACGAAAATACCCGAAGACAAAAATCAAAAGGCTGCTGTTGTTGCAGCTGTGAAAGAATCTTGCTCCTACTTTGCACAATTGCTTGAATGCTTGATTTGAACATATTGCTTGAATGCTCGGTTTCTACCAGTTCGGCCCAGACTACCTTGGTCCTTCGTCACATATTGACTGTAGTGAAAATTGAAAAAGGAAAACATAGGCCATGGTTTTGTTGCAGGACGGTTGCGATCAAGAAGCTTTTATCAAGTCATCATGCATGTCAGCCTCCAAGGACACAGTGAGCTTTCGGGCAGATGCTAAAATTAATTGATGATTAAAAAAGTTTATTGTAGCTTTACTGAAAGGTTGCTTTCTCACTTTCCTTTTTTTCAGCTAGAAACTCATTCGTAGACAGCCGTTTTTCTCTCAATGGGGCTGTTGCCACCTCCTAATCTTTTCTCTGCATATTGGTACTTTCTTAACATGTTCCACGATCAGCGTATGAGTGTAAGGGTTGGCTATATGACGCTCCCGAAGTAATCTTTAAAAGCTAGCAGTTTCGCGCACGAATACAACCGATGAGCGAAGCTCCTTAGATATGAGATACAAACTACTAGGCATCTGAGCTCGCAGCTGGCTTTCATGAGGGTGGGAAGCGCGTCTGCTGCGCCTGGCGGTGGGAATGACTGAGTCAGTGTGTGGCGCGCGCCATCTGCCGGCGCGCCTGCGCACCTGCTGTTTTGCTCGGTGCGCTTGCCAGATGCAGGGGGAGCTGCGACGACGGAGTGCGTCGTCGCAGCTCTTCACTGCAAAGTACGACTCTTCACTGCATCTCTTGCAGCTCTTCACTTTGCAGCTCTTCACTGCAAAGTACGAATCCTCAAACTCACTTTTTAAGGGGGAAAAAATAAATATAGTTTTTGGTTCATTAAGTATTACGGCTTGGTGGCGCTAGCCACCGCCCGATCTAAAGGGTACAGCCATATCCATCCAGCGGGCCTAAGAAGCTTCGAACCTAAAAAGACCAGTGTGTAGGCGTCGTCAGTGGTAGGGGAAATTACTCATGAGTGAACTCACTGTTGCTGACAAAATAAACGTTCGCGCTCCTGGTCGGTAGACAATGTTGCCTTCTCGGAAGTGCTTGCTGTGCACACGTGCGCCGGACTTCGGTGTATTGCAGTTTTTTAAGCATTATGGGTGATCCATCGTCATGTTCGTTACCCTTCGGGTAAAACCATAAATATGAAATTACACCGTGACCCTTTGCGTGCGTGCGCATTGTTTGTTCACTCAGCACCGGAAGACCGTGTCACCAGAAATATCGGTCACGCTTTGCAAGCTCATGTTGTTTATAGATGCCAGTGCGCATGGAGTGGTTGTGAAACTAAGCTGATTGAAATGGAAACACGAAGAAAAAAAATGGCGCGCGCTCGGGCCATGGCTTCTCTTCATCAGAGTGAGAGGTTCCGTGTATCAAGGTGGCTTCACGTGATCCAACTTGGATGCCACAACGATGGCAGCGCCCGTGTTTTCAGTAGTGGGCCTCGTGCACGATAATACTGAAAATATACATAAAGAGTAACTGTAATGGCAAATGATCTTATTGTGATCACATTCATGTCACACTTGCTGTGAACTGGGCCTAATAGCTAGCGAGAAAAATAAATAGCAAAAAAACTAACCTACATGTACTAACGCCTTTTTCTCGTAGTGGTCACAAACATAGCCGTGATTCGCCAAGAAGTATTCGCCCAGGTATCCTCTTGGAGGAAAAAGACTGAACTTTATTTGCAGACCAGGACCAGGCCTACCAAAAGGGAACGTCAAGCGCTTGCCTCTAGGCGTCGTCTCACGGGCGTGCTGTGTCGCCGAACTTTGTTCATCGAGGGCGGCACTCTGCAGAACCTCGACGAGAGGGCTCAGCCACGGCCGCTTGATCTCCCCCTTTGGTGATCAAGTGGCCGTGGCTCAGCCGTGACTAACTTCAGGAAGGGCCGTGTCTCCCCTCAGGCGCCACACTCTAAAAACAGCATATCTCCCTTACATGGATTTTAGCACGTCCCGAACCTCAAGGTTGCCACTCATACTATTGCGCAAGGTTTTGTCAACTGCACCAGAGCCGCTGGAGACGAGTTGGACGTGCACCCGGGACAAAAGGACAACTTGCAATTATCTCGTTAAGGCCTTTCGATCACATCAGACGCCGAGTCTTCCCCCAGCTAAGCTCAGCTGGGTGCAGGCTACCACTCTGTGTCCACAACTAATATGTATTCTTCACCTGCCCGCCTGCACCTCATGTTCCGGACGTTTACGCTATTCCCAACCGTCACTGCTGTGGCACTCACGCGGCTACGCTTCCGCATATGCGGTGGGAGTGCCCTGCATGCAGTGCACACACTAACACAATTCCTCTTCATTCGTTTTTATTTTGCTCCTGCCGGTGAGCGTGGTGGTAGTACTTTGACCCCAGTTATGTTGACGTCGTTTAAACGAGCGAGCTTCGCAGCGATTCTGCATCGGGTTTCCCACGTGTTCAGCCACTGTCCCGCAGAGAAATATGGGGCTTCGATAGTGTTGATATTTCTCCTCACTGCAATAGTATTAAAGATTGGGCTAGTTGGTACAGATGCAGCTTTGGTTAAAACGCGAGAGCAACGAAGGCGGAAAACAGGAGGGACACAAACGAGCGCTGACTCGCAACTGAAAGTTTTATTTGAAGAACGCGAAAAACGTCGTGCTGTGACCGAAAATGACTTCTCCTCACTAGCACACTCCCACCTGCTGTTCAGATACGTGCCAAATTTCACTGATGGATTGAGTGGCTTTGCCCTCGCTGTGCTGCCGAGCATCTTCCATCACGACGCCTCTGCTCCAGTTCTTCCAAAGGAAATCGCCATTAATAAAAACAATGAGTGAGATGCGCATCTAAAACGTGAACGGTATTCGGCGAATGGACACCTCGCATGCCACCGACGTAAGTGAGGCTTCTCTTTCCGTCGGTTTGTTTTCGGACAGGTGCCGCGAGAGCACGGGGTGCCAGTTCAGACTCGCTGAAGTGCAGTACAGCTCCCAGGACGAGATCTTCGCTGCGAGTTTCGAAGTCTGCGGAACCACATCCATCGCTGCAATGTACGAAAGCCGCGGCTGTACAGCGGCCTTGTGCACACTTGATGATGCATCGTGGCGCCTTCTAATTCACTGGGAGCAATGATATATTCGTGACGGCTTTGCTTCGACAACGAGTCTGGAGCGAGAGAAATTGAGTAAGAGATATTTGGTCTTTACTTACATGTATCTCTCATTATTATATAGTCGGTCGTCTTTTCAGAACCCAACCCAAACTGCACGCATTTTTCAATGCACCTGTTCATTTCAGCTGAACTTCATATTTCCCGTTAGCGTCCCATTGAGCTCCTTAACTAGCTGTGCTTATCACACGCCCAAGCAGGAAAGTTACACAAAAAAACGTTTATGGGCCTATGTTTTACTCGCCTCTTCAGAAGAGAAGGCGAACAAAGCATATCGACTTCACTGTCGGCTTCATTGACACGGTGAACTATAACGATACGCTACTGCAGTTCAAAATCTGGCGTTTGATATCTCATGTGAACGACGTGTTACAGTGGTTTCATGGGATGGCGCATCAATGTCGTCTGGTCAATATGGACTGCAGGCGAGGTACAAAACGCAAGAAGACTCAAGGATGCTGCGATCAAACTGGACGAAGAGTATATAGTCTCCCGATAGCCGCGAAAGACCTCGTAGGTCACGCAGGTACTTCCTTTTCCAATGTAATATTTCAATTGCATTACTTATTTCTGGCACGCAAAATTGAAAATTTTTGGAGGCACGGAGGCAGACTCTGGCTATGGTATCTTGAAAGCATATTCGACGTCGAAACTTACTACGAAGTGAGGCGACGTGATCCGCTCGCATTTTTGTGTGTGCTTTCCGCCGTGTTATCGGCAGATCGCAGAAGCTGAGCTTGCGGAAACCTGTCTTTTCTTCAGCCGTCGTCTCCAGAACGAGAAAAGCGTCGCGCCGGTGTTCCACGTGGCGCCGTGGCTTAGTTGGTTAAAGCGCCTGTCTAGTAAACAGGAGATCGTGGGTTCGAATCCCACCGGTGCCTTTTGGTATTTTTTTCCTGGAAGATGACTCCAGGTGCAAATGACCATGTAAATCATGCTTTTTAAAGGGCCTGTAAACAGACTCTTCAATACACCCGTCTTTTTCTATACACCCGTCGAACCAGCTCGTCAGTTCATACAGTAGTAGGCCGCGGCGATCACATTTTCCGGATAATATAGCGCTGCGCAGACCCTGCATTTTGAACAATTCCAGCGCCTGACCAATCTTCCTTGTACTCGCAGTGACGCAAACGTGCCCATTGGCAACTTTACAGACCACTGAGCTCGTAGATTGGTTCTGTGTCCCACGAAACAGAGCGTTGCTTCGCATGGTATAACTGTAGTCCAAGCGCACGAATAAACACAAAGGAAGAGAGAGGACAAGCGCTTGTCCCCTCTTCCTTTGCGTTTATTCGTGCGCTTGAAAGACAGTTGTACCATGCGTATCCAACTAGCTCAACTTGCGATTCTGTTGCCTCGCAGTTCGCACTTTCATTTTCTTGTGCTGCCCTCAGCCGTCTTGTTGAGCCCGAGACCACTGAGAGAAGTGGTTTTGCCAGGACCAGAGAAGGACTCTGCCAGGGCGAAAGCCTCCGAAATAAAGTGGCGTCTCGCTACTTTACCGCTACAGGGGAAAGGTGCTCTGCACCTCGCTGTTTCACCGCGCTGCTATGACACGTGCTAACGTGAGAGAAGTCCTGGTCGGTCGTTGGCTGCGCGCCGATGACGTATCGCTGACGTCTAGTCGCATTGCCAAAGTGGGCGGACTTGCGACGCCGGGCTACGCCTCCCCTCCCTATGACGGAGAAAGGTGGCAAGGCCGCGCGAAAATTTGAAAGCAGCTGAAACGGATGTTCTAACCCCTGTAACTATATCTCCCTCCCCCCCCCCTCTTTTTTTTTTGCACGAATTTGCAGAATTCTTGCGGCAGGATGGACACATGGCAAAAGTGCGCATATTTCTCTTCACTACAAATGTTTAACATCGAGCTTGTTTACTCACCCTTTAATGCCACTAAATGAAGAAACAGAAAGCGATATGATAGAATGCTTGTAGCCCCGTCGCGGTGGTCTAGTGGCTAAGGTACTCGGCTGCTGACCCGCAGGTCGCGGGACTGAATCCCGGCTGCGGCGGCTGCACTTCCTATGGTGCAAATGTTGTAGGCCCGTGTGCACAGATTTGGGTGCACGTTAAAGAACCCCAGGTGGTCGAAATTTCCGGAGCCCTCCACTACGGCGTCTCTCATAATCATATGGTGGTTTTGGGGCGTAAACCCCACATATCAATCAATCAATTAGACTGCGTCTGTGGTTAGTGCAGCACACACTTGATTTAGCTTCCATTACAGCCGATTCGGGAAGCTGGTAAGACGTCGTTTGAAGCTGAACACAAGGCCAATCTAAATGCAGCTCTTGCACATTGCACATATACGCCCGATTGATGGCTGTGTGTCGGTGAGGATTCATTTTGCTGTGTCGCACCAGGAACCTCTGAACTACCCCAGGCGCGTTTCTGTAGGCCTCAGGGTTGCTTCGGCGACATAGCCAGAACTTTTTTTTAGGAATGCCCAAGCAACTTTATATCCTATGCTCAATGTGTGTTTGTGTGTGCGTGTACATGTTAAAGTACAAAGTCAAAGCTGAAACATTAAGAAAGATCGGCTTTATACGGCGCTGCGCCATTCGTTGCCATAGACAACAAAAGTGACTGCCTCCATCGATAACAATGTATCTGCAGGTTTGGAAAATGGGGATGACGAATTTTGTGTGCTATTCTGGATGTGACTGAGTCTCGCATGGTCGGACTTGTGCATATTGGCCAAAAGGGCTGCTATGTATTTACCTCTCTGATTCGATCAAAATACCAGAACACGACAGTATGATGAGATACGACTATGATATCCACCTTAGGCACTCCCTGAACACACGGCGCACTCGACTGGCCAGATTCATCGTCCCTCAGAAGATGCACGAGTTGTATGGTATAGGGCAAGCCCTTCCATTGATGAGTCGCCTTAACAACAAGCATCTTTGTGGCTTACTATGCGGGACATTGATGTTGAGATTAACGCAAAGGCATGATGAAGAATTATATAAACACGCATATAGTTCGTAAATACATTATCGCTAACCAACTAAATGCGACTACTTACGTAGGTTTGGTAACTCTTTTTGTTACAGCATGCTGTAACATGATGAGAATTTTCTACCCACGACATTATGACGCTAACCTCGATCATCACAAATCTGCAGAGTTGTGATGGTCGAGGTTAGCGCCATAATGCCGTAGATAGATAATTCTCAACATCAAGAAAGAGGACGTGCTCAGTCACGGCCCAGGCATTCTGTACAGATGAATAACCGGAGAAGCTGAAACGTGCCCATCAGCTTTGATCTAACTCCGCGTAATTCGGTTGGGGCCCCCGGTCTTCAGGGACTTCACGAACAGGCCAATGAGGCCGTCTGCGCACTCTCTTCCCGGGCGATCGGCCTGTCTTTAGAAGTCTATACTCCCAATCGTACAATTTGGCCCTTTCATCAAAATACATCACTGGTTACTACAAGGAAGACCGCCAGCGCTATTCGGACACTTTTACGGGACTGGATCGCGCTGTTGAGCGCCTCCTTTTAAAACTCTTTACCAACACTGTACCTCGAAGTGCTCTGGCGTTCCAATCCATCATTTGACGGCACGTGCCAGTTCTGTGATGAGGTGTCTTCCTGCGTGCCAATCAAACCCATCTACCCCATTCCCCCGCCCAACCCTACAAGAAAGGGCTCGGAGGCGGCCCTGCATGCTCTGCTCTCATGACATCAAGGCCCAGAGGGTCCTGGTTCAACAGTCGCAAGCAGCGTTGCTTGTCACTCGAGCTCCACCTTATGCTTATACTGTGACCGGAGGAGGCCAACAAGGACCCATCCCAATCACCTCTTTGCAACTATTTGACCGGTTAATGAGTGTTTGACTACCACCACCCACCCAGCCAGCCTTGCCGCTGAGCTAATTTTTTCTTCAACTGATTTCGACCACTGCTGCCACCTATATAAGCGTTTGCAAGATTGATGATGCTTGTCGATTAGCGACAAGATAAGCTTCCCCTGTCCCCTCATGATATGGAGTGAAAAGAATGCCTCAGATATGCGGTCGTTCCCGCTGTGGTATAGCAGGCCTCCGGGACTCCCGACAGAGTGCGCCAGACAGTGCTCCGGCACTGACTCCGCGGTGCGCTCGAATATCGATCGCTCTTCGCGACGCTTCGATCAATGGCGCTGACTCGGTAACCCGGAGAACGAGGGTGCCGGCGCCGCAGCGGACCCGACAGTGCGGCGCCCGACGGGCTCCGACCGCGTTCGTCGGCGGAGTCAACGAGGAGGAGCCGGGGTTCAGACTCCGGGGAGGCAGCCAGGCCCCATCCGGACTCCCACGCCGGCAAAACATTCGAGGTAAGTAGAGGGATGAACCGGGAGAACTTCACTAAAGGGGGAGACGTCCGGGATCCTCCGTTTTCGCATTGGAGGCCACTCATCCGGCGTCAAAACGCGGCTGTGTCCACGCAGAGCATCGATGCGAACCGTGCTAGGACTGGGCTGTTCCGCGGGCCACCGCGTTAGGCCTAACGGATGTCTCGTCTGCCTCCTCATAGCAGACGACGGCTATTCGACAGTGGCTCCCGATGCAGATGACCTTGAAAGTAAACGGCAGCTGCGACGCTCTGTCTAATACGCGAATTGCGTTGCTGACAACACAGCTGCGTATTTCGGATTTGCGCAGTTTTCTCGCGTCTATATAAACAGTGTGTGCTGTTGTTACGCAAAGCACGCACAGAGACGCAGTTTAGTATTCAAACGACGTCCCTCTCTCCTATCGCTGCTTCTGAAAGAGTAATGACTCCGTGGGTGCGGTCAATCGTCTGCGCCTGCTGTCCGCAAGGGTAGTGTTGTTAGAGGACCATGCTACGGATACTTACGACAGTGTATACGTTCTAATTAACGAGGCATTCTGTAAGCATCGGATAGGCATTTTTTTTTTCTAAGTGCATGCCTGATGTCGGAGTGGATCGGTGCATGTACTCGAACCCATTGCAGCTCAGCGATAAATGGGCGACCAACCTTCTATACCGGCATTATGGTGTTTTGCAGGTCTTTTTTCTTTTTTTTTCATGAAACCATGCACTAGCTTTCACCGCTCAGCCTGAAAGGCATGCATACCTCGAGGTTTTCATTTTCGTTTGAAATAAGTTTATTTGCACTGCTTTTTGATAAGTGCGACGGTGTCACTTCATTTGGTCATGGTGATATTGTGCCAGTACTAGTTCCCGATGTGCTGGTTCGTGGTAACTGTTGAACTTGGAGAATCGCAGGCATTGGCAGATGTTATCGTTTCTTCCCATGTCATAACTATATCCTGGAGTACTTACTTCTTTTTTTGTTGTTCTTGTTGTTGTGCAATTATACCGACAGACTATATCAACGCTTGCACAACTATCAGCGCATTGAAATGGACTAAAAGAAATTCTATCACTGATGATAAAACCTTGTGCGCAGACAAACGCACTGGCTTTGTAACCAGCTGCACTTGTTCGCTTATGTAATGCTAACTATTAATCGCACATACTGTGCCTAGGCACGGACTCATGCCGGCAGACACTGTGGATTCGCACTAATTAAACACGTACAGACGTTTGTGCAACAAATTGATATATACCCCATCGCACGAGCTAGCGCAACGGAAAAGACAGATGGCGGAAGATTTTGATGCAGTCTTTATGTACGAAGATTTGGTCAGAGTCATACAGCCGCACGAATGTACCACATTTCTGCATTAATTGCTAGAAAGGGCGGATATCCAGCGATTAACCAGTAGCAACCCCTGTGTTCTAAAGTGCCTCTCAACACGAGTCATTCCTGCTATAGTGAACGAATAAACACGGACGGCTTCACACAGTGGGATTCAGTAGAAGTTCTAGCGTTCATTCTCTATTGATTATAGTTTAATATGCTATCTTAGTCTCACTTTTCAAGATTATTTCAAGTTCATAAAAGCTTGTTCATAATTAATGCCACCCCTGTAAACAAAGTACACTTATATACAATGCCGTTAATACACCAGGGAGCCTCAAAGTTAGGGACAGTTGGGAGGATTGTTATTCGTGAAATGTTATAAAGGGGAAACTAAGGAACGAATGGTTGCGGTAATGTCATCGAGAATTTGAAAACTAGAAGCAAGTAACAGGGGAAAAGACTAAAAGTAAAAGCATTGTAGCTAAAAAAAGCGTAATAAGAAGTATAAACAGGCATTACCAAAAAACAGAATGAAAATAACAGCTTAGTGAAAAGCCTTTCTTTCGAATTTCTTACTCGATAATAGTACATGTGTGTTTTTTTTTTAAATGTTGACTCCGAAAAGGCCGAAACTTATAAAATCCTTTGATGCTTCCGAACGGATGCATGTGGCTGTTTTTACAAAACTTGAGAAGCGTCGTTGGTGATAGATTGTGCACATAGCGAACCGGTTGTGAAAGAATTAACCCGGTAAAGATGATTTCGTGATAGCCGCTGAACTGATATCGCACACATCTATGGGCATCGGTAGGATTATGTCTTGGAGGGGTGCAAACCCGTGATATCGCTGCTGGGACAGTCAGGGGGGGGAGGGTGCTTTGGTGTAGCTTCCAGAGAGAGGGGTAGGCAAGCATGTGTAGGCAAAAAAAAAAGGAGAACATCGCTCATCAAATATACATTGTGCTTGGGACTCACACGGACTCAAACCCAATTTCAGTAGTTGGACTCACATTCACGGAAATTTTCTCGAACCAGACTCACTCGGGTTCAACATTTGGGTGAGCTTATATACTCACCAAAACATCACTCTTAGGCTCAGACTGGTGGCTCGATCTGAGGCTGAGTAAGTCCAAGTGAGTCGACTCAAGAACGCGTTCACCGAGCTGTGGGAACAAGTGCTGCAGCTTGTGGGTGGCTAATGCCCCTTTTTGCACGTCCTTGACGACGTTCATGCGCAGATCATCTCAACTTCAGCAACTTAGTCAGCTATAGCTGACTCAGAGAACTCCGTGGTGACGTGCAAAGGCACGCGCAATTACCACACGCTGCGCATTCACGCCAAGCAAACAACCGAGCGCATGGTGACGGTGCCTTGGAGGCCACAGATATCACGGCCGCAGGCAAAAAACACGTGACAAACAAAGACTTGCTTTGTCCGGTTGCAAGAAAAGAGGTGAGCACACGCATAAGGCTAAGAGCGCATATCGTAATCTCGAGTATAACTGCGCACCGAGGTGGGGCGTATCCTAAGCACGCGCGCGTGATTAAGCGTTCTTAGAATCAGACAAAAGGTGCGAAAACGTGAGTGCTTACTCGCTCTCATAAACGAGACCCGCCCCCCGGCCGTGCTAGGAGACTTGTCGAAAGAATCTGACTATAATCTGACTGCTAAAAGGACGCCGAGTATTGCGCCGATTCAGTGGTGGATATACTGCATTGGGAGGAGGCTGAAGGTTCTTTTGTTGGAGTATGAGAGCGCATCTCACTCGACTTCGCGTTTCTTATCTCTAGGAAGGGACTTTGAGCGCAGCTACGCAGTGTGGACGTTTCTTTGATTGGGGGTGTAAGCTGCTCTTGTTGTAGTAATCCTTATACGTGTCTTATTTCTCTCCGTTTTGCATCTTCCGTGAGCGCGTATACTTTTACTGAGAACAAAACTACGTTCATTGGAACAGTTCGTTGCACTAAACCACCATACTCTATCTCATGCTTGCGTACGTCTCATCTTTCACTCCGTTTTCTTATCTCCAATAAGGGAGTACTTTTACTCCTAACGCCACAACGCGCATCGCAGACGTTTACTCCATCAATGGAGTACAAGTACTCCCGACCTCCAACAAGCATTCACAAGCGCACATGTAGCCAACAATTCACAGTTTTACGGCACGATTCGCATAAAAAACAGCACCAATAACGAGGGACAAGAAAAGAAGGAGACAGACAGCGGCACCGACTTATAACAAGATTTATTTGCTGGAACCGCGCAATATATACTTGAGTAGTATCTGACAAAAAAGAGAAAGAAATACAAAACAAGGAAAACAGAATTCACCTAACAACCGAGTAACCATCGTGATAACGCGCCACGAAGAACACGTGTACCAATGTTCTGAAGAAAATCTATTTCTTTTTGTGATAGAGCACGTGTTGTTCGTGACGCGTTATCACGATGGTTACTCGGTTGTTAGGTGAATTCTGTTTTCTTTGTTTTGTATTTCTCGCTTTTTTGTCAGATACGGCTCAAGTATATATTGCGCGGTTCCAGCAAAGAAATCTTGTTGTAAGTCGGTGCCGTTGTCTGTCTCCTTTTTTTCTTCTCCCTCGTTCATTGGCGCTGTTTTTTATGTGAATGATGTCGTACCAACTCGCCCAAGCAACCACGTGCTGTTTACGGCACGGCTTTACGGTTGCAGGAGTTTCCTACGAAGATCACTAAACGATAGTTTGGTTTGATTGATTGATCTGTGGGCTTTAACGTCCCGAAACAGCCATATGATTATGAGAGACGCCGTAGTGGAGGGCTCTGGAAATTTCGACCACCTGGGGTTCTTTTACATGTACCCAAATCTGAGCACACGGACCTACAACATTTCCGCCTCCATCGGAAATGCAGCCGCCGCAGCCGGGAACGTGAGTTTGGTTGTGCTTCATTTCGTTCACTTCAGTGATGTACGCTAGTTCACTTCAGTGACGTATCAAGGTGGACAACACTTCAGTTCTAGTGCACTGTAAGTTTGTAAGAGCACGCGAATGCACTGAAGCCATCAGCGCTGCACACCGCAGTAAACCATGTGGACCCAGCAGATATTCACGACGTCATTCGACGCACCCTGTTTGGATCATATCGCCTTCCGTGCGTTGCATATGCATCACAACATTGAAATAACTGGGTCAATTCCCGTATCAGCCACGGCGCTAAGGCGCGAAATCGCGCGTCCGTGTATGCGTGCAGCGGTACCAGTTGCAGAACTGAGGGCGTTCTTTCATCGACCTGTCCATCATGATGAGCGCATGTGTGCACGCTTTTGATACGGCCAATATAAGAGCGCCGTTGTTCGCACTATAATATAGAGCGCACAGCCGACAAAACCAGTTCGAACGAGCGTCAGCGAACAAACAAACGTAGGAAACAATAAACTGCGCAGCGCTTTGTGTCCGGCTCTCCAAAAGAAGCAATGTGTGTACAACGAGTAAACAAACAATAAATATCAGGATCTCTTCTTTTTTGATGTCACGACCAACAACCACCCCACCGCACGATATCCGATTTGTCGCGCTTGACCTTGGCGGCTGACCTTTTGCGGCTAGCCCGGGCAGCGGTAAACGTCTTCTTAAAAAGGTCACACCTGGGACTGAGAGATGCGTAGATCGGCACTGACCACAACAGAGAACGGACACATTTCTGCTAGCCACTCGCATGTGGTCGTCTTTGGGGTTGGAGTGAGCGTTCTTGACTTTGACTTCGGTTGGCCTTCTAACCATCCAGCAATCTTCACCTAGACGGGACTGCTGCGTCACCCGTACAGAGGTCTTTCGAAGGAGGTTGTTAAGCCTAAAGTGTGTTGTTTTCAAGTCTCTTCAAGTTTGGTCGGCTCACCACCGCTGAGGTAGATTAGACCTTTACATTACGTGGGGGCTCCGAAGAAAACTGCTTTGTCTCAAGACACGGATGTCTAAAGTTTGATGCTTCCAAGTCGCCTTGACCTCGGCGGGCCTTCAGTCTATCCAGCTGTATCTACGTCTACCGGACCACACCATCGCGTCAGCTAAACAAGTCACCCGGAGGTTGCTGGTGTTTGAACTCTGTCGGTTCGAAACTATGTTGTTTTCGACCGGCGATAGATACATTGCTACAGCTGGACAGCACATCTGCATAATTAGATCGTACGGGTCTTACTTCTGAAGTGGCTGTGTCTTAGGACTTTGAAGTCTCAAGCCTGTTGCTTCCAAGTTGCTTTAACTTCGGTCGTACTACCACCCCAGAAATCCGGTACCGGCGTCCATCAGCTGAAGCAGACTGCCGTGGCTGAAGTCATCTTCAAGTTGCTACAGAATTTTCCTTCGCTATTTTCTGGTGACAGAGCTGAACTGTGACTCACTTTAAAGTTGGGAAGTGACACTACTTAGACCATATATACTGTCACTGTAAAGGATCATCTGAAAACCTGCTGCAATGCCTGGGAGGGTGAGTAATTTTTCTGGTGTGTAAGTTATTCGCTGGCTGCGTCATGTGGTTGTTGGTTTCTTAAAAGAAATGTTATTACTTGTTTTCAAGTTGGGCCGGAGCAAGACATGTGGAACCAACACGCTCTTTGAGCGATCCCGTGTTCCGATGTGACATCATAGTGATTGATAAAGAATCAAAACGATCGTGATTATTCTCTGCATTTCTTGGCATCGACTTTTCTGCCCTTCCTATCTCGGATAGCTTACTGTTGAAAAGGACATAATTGAAATGGGAATACAATTGTAATTCTTGAGGCGGGATCACATTTAACGCGATCTTAATTTATGAGCAGTTACGTAACAGTTGATCGATGCGCCTTCTTCCTTTCTTTTGAATTCCATTTACTTCAGGTAGACAAGTCCAGGCGCTGGTGCGAGGCCACGGCTCTGTCAAGGAAAGGAACCGCTAAGAGGTGAGGTCACATGGTTTACCGGTTGCCTGGACCACATCCACATTCGTTGTAACAAAGATTACAATTCAATGAAAAAAAAAAAGAGAAACGGAATTACTTCACTCAGCTGATGATGATGGCCCGTATGTGTGGATCACACGCAATCTGGGGGATACACCAAGAAACAAAACGACCAAGAAATAAAAAAAAATGTTTATGGAGTCGTTTCAGGCAATATTTAACGTACAACAGCACTGACTGTTGGGCGAGTTTGTGTTGGTTCATAGTTATGAACGGCCCATGAAAAACACGCGGAACACAGATGAAGAAAAAACACACAGACATTGAGTAACCGTAACGTAACATTGCCCAGTTTCAAATTATATTTGACCATCTCCACGTAATTTGTTCAGCGGCATCACTACGGCATAACTCGTAATTATATTTTAGTTTTGATCTGTTTAGACATTGTAATATTATCTGCGAATCGTAAGGATGCCCCTCGGCACAGAGCAGTTTAAACGCAGTTGCATGCTTTGGGGCCTCATTCGTCCTGTAACGATACCGGACATCTATATGCGGTCGTACCGAACGGCATGCCTGCTTCAGAGTGACATCACATATTCTTTACATGGCCAGGACCCAATTTCGAGAATGCAAAGGCAAGCGAATCAGGCTACAGTTATTTTGATGAAAAAAAAAAAAACAACAACAACAACCGGAAGGGTGCGACAAGAGTAGAACGGTAGAACATTATACCACAGAACACTTCGGGTTGTTGGCGCATTGATTTGCTCGGCACATATTTATTTGGAACGGAGAAACGACGCCAAAACAAGACGAAGACGAGACGACACAAACACGGCGCTGACTAACAGCCACATTGTAATTGCCAGGGCAAAATTTTTCAAGCCTTTTGAAGCTTTTCAAGCCTTTTTCAAACCTTTCTTTGACAAATTTCTTCAGGTCATGACTGTTTGCCACCGGGTAGCGCAGACGGTTATTTGGACACGCACTCACGGGTGTGCATAACAAAACTGTCAGCTGGCATTGTATACAGCGATGTCTTGTTCCCTTATTTCCATACTGATGGTGCTTTTATCGTACATATTGTCGCCCAAACACAATATTATGTACGGCGAGTAAGTGTGACCTTTGGTTTTGCGGCTCTGATTTTCGGCATCGAAAGTTCGACGGTTGAGTAATATTCATAACATTCATAACGATTGAGTGTTTATAAACGCATCTCTTGTGGTTTCATTAGCACTCGGCGTTGCACGAACGTGCGTGTAAACAATCACCTTTTAATAACTTAACGAAAATATTAAAGTAGGGGTCAGATATCGGGATGGATGGGTGCGTCAAAAATCTATTTTTAGGCATCGATTGCAACGGTTGTCTCCTCTCGTCTTTGTGTTGTTTTAGTGCTGTTTTGTTTTTGTAAGTTATTAAATCATTGCAGAAACACTTGATCATTAAGTATGGAGCAACACAAAGACACGAAATAGTGACAATGAAAAAAAAAAACACGACAACAGGTGCCGCACAAGCGTATTTACAATTGCTGTTTCGAAAGCGAAACTGAAACCACGACGGGCAATTCACTCTTTCTTTCTTTTTTTTTTCCTCTTTCCTCAGAGCGTCGTCTGCTGCCGCATCTCGCGAAGCTCCGTCGCGGCCGAGACGGGACGAGAGCACCATGAGAGATGTCAAGATGGCCGAACTGAAGGTGGAGGCTCCGCTGGCTCGGACCGAAGAGTGGTCCGACTTCAGCGACTTCCAGAGCTCCGAGGACGTGGAGAACTCGAACGCGACCTCAAACAAGTCGACGCCTTCCTCGATCACCGACGGCGGCACAAACAACGGCGTCAATCAGGCGTCCAACAACGACAACTCGTTCGCTGACTGCAACTTCAGCGAGACGTTCTCCAACTCGCTCGAAGATCTGGTGAACACGTTCGACGACAAGATCACAAAGTGCTTCTGCGACTACGACGAGAACGTGGAGAAGCTAGCGCCCGTGCAAATCCGAACGCAGGAGGAAATACTGAACGAGTGCCAGTAAGTAAACAGGCGACGGACCCATCTTTCGAAACTTCGTTTCTTTAAAAAACTTCTTTCAGTTTCCTCTAACTTAGCGTTTCGATCGAGACGTTGTGAAGTATTAGAACAACGGAATACCTAAAATGGCAAACGTTAAGCGTTATATCCGGCGCTTTCGTGAGTTCCTGTCGCTTCTTTTGTGTGCGTGTTTTCACGCCTAAGTTTTTTTTTTCTCGTTACGGAGGATGTAGTGGGAGTACACTCCCACATCCCGACGCCCGGGATGCGCTTCCGAAGTCAGCTGTGTTTCGCGGACGACTGCAAGCGCTTAACGTCGTGGCGCTAAAAAAAAAAAAAAAAAAAGAAAGAAAGAAAGAAAGACGTTACCTTGAGTTCCAATTTTAAAGGCAATAAAATGTGCGTGATCAATACACAAAGGAAAAAGAGATTGACAGACTTAGGCTGTGCCGTTGTTTTGCTTTCGTTTCCCGTCCCACCACTTTTGAAGGGACTATGAGTGTTTCCAGGACGCCTGTAGTTTTTGATGTGCCCGACGCGGCAAATAAGTGTGACCCGTGGTTCCGTGGCCCTACTTTTGGCATCGAAATTTAGACGCATGGATAATATTGCTACTTGAGAAGATTCATAACCAATGAGTGGTTATAAATACATCTCTCGCCGTTTCATTATTACTCGGTGTTGCACGAACGGGCCTGCAAACAATCCCATTTTAGTAACATGATACAAATATTTAGTAGGAGTCAGATATCGGGATGGAGAGGTGCGTCAAAAATCAATTTTGTGTTACACTGCGGATCTGAAACACAGTTGCTTTAATATCTTGTTTTGCGTAGTTGGCATCCGCATTTGCTGACGCGATAACGGCCGTTCTGTTCACCTGCGAAACGGAGTATATCTGTTATCCGAAAGTGTGATATCTTATCGTCTTTCTTCCTCCGGAGGCCCTTGTGTCTTGTTTTTTTTTTTTCGCGTCTATTTTCTGCTCGAGATTCCTTTTGACAAGGTAATGGGGCCTTTGAGGTCGCACTGATTGCATTTCGCGTAACGGCGGTTTCGTTTCGCCTGCTTTGAAGAAGGTCGCTACGCCGCAAGACCCCGGCAAAAATATTATCTCCGTCGTGCACTTGGGCCAGCCAACGCCAAGACGTTTACAAAACCTTTGCTAACGCCGCTTCTTCACAACACGACCTATACAAACGCCACTGTGGCTACCAGGACGTCTCAGGGAGGTTTTCGCGAGCAGCTTCGTTATATTGCGCCACGACGTCTGCAAAACGTCTTGTCTGTGAGCTGTTTCGTCAACACAACGTCTGCGTAGCGTTTCGCTTGGTATTCCTTCTTCAAGTGTAACATCCTGACGTGTGCAGTCTGCGAAAGCTTAATTTTAGTCCGCTAGCGTCTGCGATGATACAGTGCAACGACATGCACAGTCGCGCCCAATATCGGTTGCATGTGGCACCCGACATTGAAAACAATCTGTGACGTAAACGTTGTTTCTCGCATGCTGGCATTTCTAAAACGAATTCCACGTTAACCGACCAACCGGCTTGAGGCACCTTCAGCCATAGCCATCGTGTTTCAACTCATATTGATCGCCGCTGTTCACTAGACGTCTTCTAGACGTCCGTGAGACGTCCTATTCAATTTTATCCCCGATTATTTCTGGACCTGTATGTTTAAGCGAATATTCTCACATGTTCATGAGGTATCACGTTCGTGCAGTCAATGTAAGCTAGGCAGCAGGGGTTGAGTAGGTGAGAGTGGGGGGAAGGGGGGGGGGCGAAAACGAGAGATCGCGCCGATGTGATTTCGTGCCTCACGTTCTGACTTCGTGCTCGACTTGTCTTGAGGTCACTTGCTTGACTTTTCGTGTATGCCTTAAATCTATAGCCGTTTTTTTTTCTTCTGTCTCTTAGTATCTCTTTCACTCGATAACGGGATGGGATGTGTGCATTTAGAGGGTGAAGGGGGGGGGGGGGGAATTATGTCGGGGTGTAGAATGTCGGTGCGGTACTACTTGCTACTACAAACCGTTTTCACAAATCTAGGCCACGATGAGGTCGCATTCGAGAGAGCCCCCCACCGGGCAACGGGGTCTCGCTTAATATAGCACCTTCCAGCTGCTGCCGCTGTCCGTCCCGTCGCTTCTCACGCTTTGTATAAGCGGAGGAGGGGGCATTTCCTCATTGAATCGTGTCGCCGCCGGTGTTATCGTCGCGGATCATCGGAGAGTGTAACTTCAAACGAACCAGGACAGAAACACAAATTCCAGGCATTCCACGAGAACCGAACGTTTAGGGGGTCTCTGAAAGCAGTTTGCGGGTCAGCATCTCATGGGTGCATTCGTATTTCCGCCGCGTAGGGGGTGGTTCCCCCATACATGTTTTCTCGTGCGTGCGTTTGTTTTTGTGAATATATACGCGTGAAAAATTCAACAACTTCGGGGGGTAAAGGGGCATTCACACGGGGAAGAAGTCAAGCATGCGGTGGTTGCTTGCCACGTGACAGTGACGTCACCAGTTAGCGAGTGGGCGTGGCCTTCGCGCCCACTCGCGGATTGGCGAGTCCGTTACGTCTTTGTCACGTGATCCGTAATCCGCGTGCCCCCCTCCCCCGAGGATTTATGTATTTATTCATAATACCCCTAAAGGCCCTCGTAGAGGGTATTACATAGGGGGGGTTACATGAGCAAAATTACAAACAATAAACGTCAAAAACGAAAAAAAAAGGTCAAAAAATTCAAATTAAATACAGACTAAGGTTGAGATATATGTTATAACAAGTAATTGGTAAAGACAGCAAAAATAGAGAAAAGAATAGGCAACAAATCATTGGAATACAGATAAGTACCCAGTGAACAACCTATGAAAATGCAAGAAAAAATAATCAATACACTTGATAAATAATCAATACACTTGATATCGCCGTGTGAAGAAACCTATACGGGGATGGTTTCGACAGCCCGACCAACTTCGTCAGTGGTCAGCCAGCATAAAAAATAGTAATGAATAATTAAAATAAAAAAACAACTGAGCTAAAGTCTGAGAGGAAATCTACAGCGGTATGAAGAACAGCTTACCAACAACTATATTAACTGTAATCACAACAATATATGTATAAGAATATGAATTTGAAAAGAAGGGTATGACTTCTCGGTAGCTGCCATATTGGTCCTCTTAATGCCAGGCTATCTGGTCTTACAACCATCCTTTAAAATAATACATATATAGTAATATGTATCTACCTTATTCTATTTAATGCTTTTGATGCTGCAGTAGGAGCTATTAGTGTTATTCTGCTGGAAATATTTTCCCACCTTTCTCATTTTAGCAAATTTCACACTTATTTGTAGCCTTGAAGATATATTCCATAGAGAAGTGTTCCAGAAAGAATATTTAGTGGCACATTTATAACATGTATCTAGCGAAATCCTACAAATCATAATTATTCGTCTAGCTATTGCAATAATGTGTACATTCAGCTGGCTTTGAAGGGTTGCATAATATAGTGTCATTGCGCTTAGTTCATGAGATATTGCTCGACAAAATTGGGCAGTGATATACATCCCAATGGCATGATTGTGCATAATTGTTACCTGGATGGCTAACAATAAGAAAAAATAAGATTGTAGAATTATACTGCTGGGGATATCAAAGAGTTGATTTGCTAACTTACTGATTGTGCTCTGTTTCAATGCACACGTAGACTGTGAGGACTGTTTTGAACTTTTTAAGTTTGACTTGAGGTTATCTTTGTCATCCTAATTGAAAGCAAACATTACCTTATAAGTTATCTCACTTATCTTAATCAGCAAACAAGCCATGATTATTATGATATGCATTACGAAATCTTCATGTCGCACAATTCGAGAAAATGCTTGTTCAAGTGCTTGAATATTGTGCATGCTATCTTCAGCAAAAAAAAAAATTATTCAATTTGAAGTACGTAATTTTGTTCCTGCGATTAGCAGATAAGTACATACGAAGCTTTGTTATTGTCTAGTTGTAAGGGTGTATTGGTATTCCTCAACAAGGTTTCTAAGAATCGGTCGTGGCTTTTGCACCCTGATAACATGTCGTTTCAGTTTTCACTTATAATGTGCTACAACCTAGTAGCTTTTACATATTGTACTCCTAAAACCTGAAGACTAAAGGTCTGTGGTGAGGATACGTAACAAAATTGTAGCAATTGCAGTTCTTTTATTCTGAGCCAGATTGGGAAAGTACAGGTTAATAAATTAATGTGCGAAACTTCCTATTTGCACAGTAGTACTGTCGTAATCATGGTAGTTTCAATCTCTTAAGATTACTTTTTAAGTTTGTCATTTATGTAGTCAGCAGCTACTAACTTTTAAATAGATTGCTGATATATATATAAATATAACATTTATTTACTGTTATGTGTAGTAGTAGTGCAATGCAAGCCATGAATACCTACATGAAATGGCAATTATAGAAGACCACTGGATTAGGCACATTTCACCTAGATTATTTTGTTTACAGAAGCGTTGTGCACATATCAAGTGTCATAGAATTGGTGCAGTCTTCAGAATCATTGTATGATGTCAACACTGGCCTACCCATAGTTCGCACACCATAAATAAATCAGTGTTATGACTGTCCCCTAAATATTGCCAATATTGAGGGCTCGGGAAAGGGACCGTTGCATTGTGAAAGTGGCAGTTACTTATCGTATGTGTATACACTACATGTTTGCATTAATTTTGTTGCACTTACGTTCCACCTAAAAGGTGTAGCTCTCTTGTAAGCTTGGTTTGTAATCTGCAAGGAACATCCCTGTACAGCAAAGATGCATGGAGTCCACTGTAGTGGAGGTGTTATGGCAGAGTAAGCATTAAATGAGCAGCGTGGGGACTGAATGTTCGAAATGAAGTTTTGGAGTGCACATTCATTTTTGCCTGATGCTTCCTGCCTACTGATTATCGCATTTGCTTGTTATCGTATGTTGTTTTATTCCAAATTATTCAGCCTTTTCAG